TATGTTATTACTCCCAGATCAAATAGTTTAATCAGGAAAGTTGTGTTTGATGAAAGAAACAAAACATTAACAGGAATACCAAGGTTAATAGGATCTCCGAGAACATTGTCTAAAAACAGAAGATTGCCTTCAGAACTGTTTACTGGCATTTCCGTTTTACTTCAGGACAAATGTGGTTAACAAAGGAATCAGATATAACTCATTGATAACCCACGCTTTTCTCTTTGCTTTCCATATTAGAAGTTCTCAGATTTTCTAAATGTTAATCTAATAACAATTTTCATTTAAATTCGCCAAAGGCATTGTATTCGAAGAATAATCTTGAATGGTTTCTTTGAACCTTACAGAAGCTCTTAGATAATAGCCAAAACTTCGTTATATCGAAGCTTCATTTGCCGAGGTATGACTGTAATTGAGCGAAAAAACTATATAAATTTTTCAACGATATTGATTCGCTGCATGCAACAAGAGAAGAACAAGCGTTTCTTTTTTTTCTGCAATCGATAATGTTCCGTACTCGAGAGGCAGCAATTATCCTCGTTTTCGTTCACAAGACAAGTGCACTTTCGTTTTTCGTTTCGTCTCTTCCAATTTTCGTCGTTGTTTTTTTTTTCTTCTTTAATGAAATTTTATTCGAATCATAATCCAGCCCAGAGATTATTACGACGGTTTGAAGCGATTAAAAGTGGAACGTCGTTAATTTCAATAACGGAGTGATTTCAGGAGTAATATAAACGCCATTAAATCTTCGGATTTGTTCTCAGTGTCCGCGGACTAAAGTTACAGAGAAATGAAGTTTTCATGCTCTAAACCGGATTTATTTTTGTAATTTGATTAAAGCCATCCACCACTTTACTACTTACAAAACGCTTTCAAACAAAAATTGCAATTTGCTGTACAGTTTTACTACGTATTTCTGAACACAGAAAATATTGATTTTTCATTTCTTAAATGATATTAAAAATATAACAATACCTCGCATAGTGCGGATTCGATCAGTGCGGATTCACTATAGTTCGGTTTGAAAATTTGAAAACAAATAATTGTATGTGTGCTGTTTATCGTTATACGGTTTTAAAGTCCTCGTTTAGTCCGGTTGAACCTATTACCCGGACTATGCGAGGTATTGCTGTATTTCATTATTCAATATAATAAAACGGATTTATAAATGGGATTTCTGTAATAAATATTACGTTAATTGTGTTTTACTTTTTTTTTGTACACCCACGACGTAACATCTGTGAAAGTCACGTAAACATCGTTTCTTCCGCAGTTTTACTGTTTGTCCTTTATTTTACTTTTTTCTTGTTATTACTCGTCTTTGGCTGAAGACAGTAAATTCCATTTAGCCTCGGCAATAAACACCCTCCTCCCCCGTTTCTGGATTCTCTACATCCCCGAGGGATTATGGAATGAAAGCAATATACATATACGCAAACATCTGAGCTTCGAAAGTTTGATTATCGATGTTGACGAAATTTATTTCATTCTATACTAAACGTTTGGAACAGTAAATTCGTTTACAAACAAACAAAAAAACAACAAGTTCATTAAGTACATCATAAAATGCGCAGATGCTGCAGATCTTCCCACATACATAAAAAAAATAACAACGAATGTATTACGACACAAATAAAAACAAGTTATGTTTGTGTCGCGATTCCAATCTGTTTAATAAACTCAATTCATTTTTATTAAGTAACGTAATTATGAAGTATGTGATGTATGTGATGTTTTTGTACATGGATTTAATGCAATGGGCACAGTCGTGAAGTGAAGTATGCAATGGTTAAAGCGTGCTTATCACTAATATATCTACAAACGTGTACGGTGCGTGCCTAATTTCCACCTTTCCTCGATTTTCCGCGTTGTAAACCTCAAAGTATTTACAATTTTGTTTGTTGGTCTAAAAAACCGTTCAGGTCACATACTTCTTGTTGTTTATTTCAACATAATATACAATTCCCTTAGTAAATGAACTATATTATAACTCAATAATAAAATGATTCTGTCAGATTTTGTTATTATTAGTACAGTAAAATCCATTTTTGTGCGATAGGGACCGCATAAAAATGAACAGCACAAAAACAGGTTCTACAGTATTGGAAAATATATTTGCTAGTAGATCTTCAATCCTCTTAAAATTAAGACTCTAAAAATGGTAATAGTTTCAACTAAGTATCTATTCGTATATTATTATAATTAGGGGCGTAAGGCCTTAGTGACCAGACCCTACCTATACTTGCAATAATTCATGAATTAGTTGACAAAAATAAACATACTAAAAAAACGTTTTTTTGTTGGTTTTTGGTCTCACCTGTTGCTATTTCTGCCACTGATTATAATACCTATCATAGTGCGGGTAATCGGTTCCACCAATATCTGTTTTAAACCGGACTAATTGAAGACATCAAACCCACATAAAAATAAACCACACTTAGAGACGTGTCTGAAAAGAAATCATTTATATATAAACAATAATTTTGTGTAGTATTTTTTTAGAACTAAAATTTAGTTTGTTTTGAAATATATTATAAATCCGACCTGTTTGAAGCTGCACTATGCGATGCGAATTTTGAAGACTGTAAACTTGTGTAATATTATGATAGGAAAGGTAGAGGAATATCTCTAAAATGTTGTTTAGAAGAAACTTCCATCGATGTAGTTCGCTGCACTTGGTACTTGGAACGTTGAACTGAACTCGTAAAGATGTTTGTTTTTTCTTCTTCTCTCTTCGTTCTCGCCCTTAAATAGGATTCATTTGCAAATGGAAACTTGGCTTGCACGCTACATTTTCAGATAACCTTTCCTGAAATTACAAAACGACAAGAAGATTTTACACTCATATGAACGACATACACACTTCAAAGACTATAATATTTATCCATTTCTTTCATTAGTTTGTGAAAAACTTTTTAGAAAGATTGTCAAACAATTAACATTGTATTTGGGTTTGTCTTGTTATTTTATACTTTTTACAAAGATTTTGAAATATCTAATTTAACATTGGAAAAAACAATATTTTTTTCATCCTTTTGAATTATTATTACTTCTTATAAACATTTATAATTGGAAGAAAAAAAAAGATGAAACATATATTTTTTTTGTGATTTATAAGCCAATTAAACCAATTTACTGAAAGAAAATTGCTTCATATAAAAGCGGATTCGTATAATAAGACACCTGATTATGGTTTAATAAAAGGAAAGCTACTTAAATACGTTCTAGTGAAAGGCATTGTATTGATTATACTAATATTTCTATGACATATTAAGAAGTGACTGCTTTACTGCGCAATGGAAAGTTGCGCAGATAATCATTATACTGAAACATGGAAATTGTGTGGAAAATATTAAGTCATGTAATCTACGTGTATCTACATTATCAAGTCATTCCCTAAGTAGACTCCATTCTGTAATCTATAAATAAACAAGTCTAAGGCCTCTAATTTGCATGTACTTTCAAACAAATAAGTATGTAGCATTTGCTAATATTGCAAACATTTACTTGAAAGATTAAAGACAACTTATCAGGAAAACTTTCATATGTTGTCCGTCATATCTGGAAATCAAAAGCAAATAAATTAAAGTTTTTATAATCCCTGAGAAGTAGAAAATATTATCAAGACTTTACTAAGTAGACACCATTCTATCATTTATAAATAAACAATTGGTAGACTTCTAATTTCCATCTACTTTAAACAAAGAAGTATGAAACAAGTAAAACGGGTTTCAAAGATTAAAGACAATTTAACAGGAAAGCTTGCATTCTTTCATCCGTCATATCTGAAAATTATAGGCAAAGAAAATAAAGTGTTTATACTTCCTAAGAAGTAAAAAATTACTCCTAATTGTGTTGTATATAGTAATATTAATTTATGTGGAACTATATTTCTATTTATGTTTAAAGCTCATTGAGAAAGTTCATTTTATTATTTCTATCAAATGTGGGTCCACTACTTTAACTGGTACATTTTCTTAAATATAAAATTTAAATAATTGTTACCAATTGACTTAACTTGAATATAAATGCAAGATTATCATATACGGGAAGTACTCCAACAAATACTCTGGTATTATCAGTTATGATTAATGTTATGTTATGTTAATTCGGTTACAAAAATTAAAAAAAAAATGTTTGTATCGCAGCTGAGACACAATAGGTTTTATATTTAGCTTCAAACTTTAAAACATAGCAAATTTATTTCAAACCATGCATTATTTATTTTCAGCTGTGATCGTGCCAATACCAACGTTTTGTTGATATTGTTATGTGCAATTAACTTATCAAGACTTTTTTATTTGTGTTTATTACTTACATGGATATATTTAAAAATATATAATTAACCAGAAATACGTTTCAGGTATATAGCGTGTTATGTCGACTTTATATTAAATAAATTTTAGTTTAGTAAATAATTCAACACATGCAGGTCTACTACACTCTTATGTTCATCTTAAGTTATCAGAAAGCTGTCATTTTTATAATTATTTTTTTTATATAACAAAAAACGAAAAAAAAACATTGTTTTCTTTTAGAGCTAATTCTCAAGTTACGACAATTCGCGCTAACGACGAAAAACAAGTTATAGAAAAAAAAATAATGGAGTTAATAGAACTAAATGAACACAACGAACCACCCGAAAGCTTTTAGCCAAATTAATGAGGCAATTAACAAATTAGGTATTGCGGACGCAGACAATGATAGATTTTCAAAAGTACAACATTCAGCAGACAGTTTAATGAAATTTATTATCACAAGAAAGAATAAACTGTCTAAAAGATATTTACATTACATTTTAAGAAGTGACAGATTGTTATAGAAGTTACGAATAAGTGAATTATTATAATTTCTTAACAATATGAGCTCTAAGAATTTGTGGAAGTGATTTTCAATATGTAAGAGGATCTCAGATATTCCACGAAAATTGTAAAATATCATTAATTCAATTATATTCTATTATATAAAGACATCTAAAACGCAAAAGGTAAATAGATTAAAATTTTAAAAACATTAATATTTAAGTATGCCGCAGAAATTTATAACACTTCACTCAATAAGTTTGTAGGATGACATATATATATATATAGGAATTACCAACCTTTTGACGGCGCCTGTTAATATATCATGGCAATCTGACGTTTAGTTCACAAGTTACAGTGATGCTACTTTTGTAATTTTCAAAACAGTGGAAAAATCTGAATTTCATGTGTCGATAGAACATTGTTTTTTTTTATGGGAAAAATACTGTTCAAGCAAATCAATGGCTTGATAAGTATTAGGAGACTCTTCTCCGTCGAAACAAATGATAGGGAGGTGGTTTACTGATTTTAAACGCGATCGTACAGACACAAATGATGCTGAACATTACTACTACTGAACATTACTATAATAAGAGTAAATTATAAATAAATAAGACAGAATGAATGCAATAGAACTTTTTTATGATTATTTTTTAATTTTGTATTTATGTGTACTATGAAATTAAAAAAATATTGAAAAACTCTGCTCAAAGAACTAAATCACTCAAAGAAGACATACATATTTAATTATTTATTGTACACAAAACTAAAATTTTATTTATCTTTACGTTTATTGAAATTTAAAAATAAGTATTATTAGTAAAATATTATAAACAAAAAATATAGAAAAGGCTTCAATTGCCCTTTCTATTATGTATAAAGAAATACTTTAAGTTTATTGATTAATACTGGTATTGTGTATTGATCAACATCCTTAACATTTCGTCGCGCTGTGTTAACTGCGTATTGAATCTCACATTCAGCTGCATTTATAGAATCGACATTTTTTGTTTCTTTTGCTCATATTTACTATTTCATTTAACTTATTGTTATTGAAAACTGTTATTTACGGAATTCAGAATTGCTTTATCATGCGTAGTATATGATTTGCACCATCTTTTGTTGTGTCTCATTATTTAATAAACTTAAAGTTATGACAATTTTTTATTATTTGTATTGATAAATTAAAAGTATAAAATATATTTGTAATCTGACTAAAAAAAATATTATAAATTAACCTCAAGGTGAAGGTTGATCATGTGCCACTTGATTTACAATACTTTTAGCAATAATAAATAGAAATAAAGTTTAAATGAAAAAAATATAAACGTATACATCCAATAATCATCAATAGTACTTCATTTTGAAATATTTGCCCCCTATTTTATATTTAACCATTCGCAATCAAAACGTTTTTATAGAAATGTGTACTATATGCTATAATTTGAGAGAAGAAAAATTGAGTAAATTGAATTTAACAAATGTGACATCTAGTGGTTAATAAAGTGAAATTTAAAGTTATAACTTGATCTTATTTGTTAGAAATAGTAAATTAATATTTGTAAATTACATATTTCAATGACGCAATTGATGCTCGAAAATAGATTAGGTTGTAAAATGTTGCTTTGGGTTCAAAATGAAATGTTTTGTGTGTGTGATTCATTGAAGCGTATAGTAATTTGCGTAGTTAATCATCAAGAAATCAATATGTGGTGTTGTTGTTTATACTTGTTTTGTGTATGAAACTGATTGTTTCTATATTTCAGGGTTGGATGAGCTGAGATCGGTCGTCGATGCATTGGATGAGCGTGTGGTGCGCCTCGGCGGGTCCCTCGTGCGCCAGCTGAAGCGTCGCGACGCCCTGTGCCGCCAGAGGGACTACCGTTTCGACGTCATCGGCATGGCACTACGAAAACGTGAGTTGGGGGCCCAGAAAACAATCAATACACAAAGGCTATATGGCTATGCAGAGCATAGAGCCGCCCCTCGTGCAATCCGAACGTCACCGGTGGTGGCGGCGGCGGCGGCGTCGATCTCTCCGAGGAACATCTGATGTGCAGTGCCGTTCAGCAGTCAGCATCGTGCACTCGCCGCAGCCGCCTCCCTCTAGTACACCACCCTCGTGTGTCATCTATATGTGCTATATGTTACATAAAGAGCAATGCTTCACTCATGAGCGGGATAATAAATACACTGAAAAAAGCAGCCGCCTCCACCGGTGCGTACCAAAGAATTGCAGGTATATAATAGAAATAAACCATCCCCCAAAAAAAACGCAGCTGCGACAAGTAGTCACGCACATTGTGAACGTAGAGCCGCCGCCGTCTACCATTCACTTACTTTACTTCTTCCATCATAATTATCATCAAATTCATTCTCGAAAAGATTCCCTTCCCCCTTCGGCCTTATGTAACAGCTGTACCAACGAATTCCCATTCACCGAATTGAAAAGTAAACACTTTGCACGTAATCCGATGGAAACGCGTGCATTTATATATATTTTTTTCCCTCGAGTCCATCGCAGCGCAATTTCAACTTTGAAACAATGATTAATTTTGTTTTGTAAACAACGAAGGAAAAACAACGCAAAGGTAAAATTGGTTTGATTGCGTCGCGTCGTTTATTGTTGTTATCCTCGATCTGCATATTCGTGTTGTGCTAATTTCACTTTCATTTCGAGCTTGAAATATATATATATACACGTGAAAATAAATCGTCAATAATGAATATGAATTATACTTCATAAATCCATGAATAACATTATATAAAATATTTGTGAAATTTTGTCTTTATTAACTTAATTATATAATACACATAATGAAGTAGTTCACTCAAAGAATTCGTTACAAATAGTTAAGTTGTTGATTTCAGTTCTTAAAAGTATTGAACTGAACTGTTTTGTATTAAATAAACAGTAGTTTCAGACAAAGATTGTTTTAATCGTTCTATTTCTAGTTTCAGTCGCATGAAAATGTATTTAATGTTTGTTATAAAATAAGAATGGACAAATTAATATAAATGGAAGTAAAATATAAATAAAAAGTTTTATATCGCAAAAACTAACAAACTTAACCAATAGTTTGCATGACTATATTCTTAGTGTAAGTACAATTATTGTTACATAAACTAAGAATAACCTACGTATTGCATTTTAATTAACAGTAATTATTGCTAAAGATTAAAATTAATTATAGATACTTTATAAATAATGAAAATTATATCTTGTAATATACATTAATAATGATAATACAATAAAATTAAGAACAAAACCTTTTTATCTTTTGACAAATTTCAATTTTTACAAATTAATATTTATCGGATATATTATCAATTTACATAAAGTATATTGTAATATCTTGTTTAACGAAACTTCTTTCAGTTCGTCTTCATTTTCTATGTCTTCGTTGCTAACAAGGCTAAATTTTCCACCAAAAAACCATCATCTTCTGCGTTCAATAAATTTTTAACATTTTCTAAGAAGTTATATAGAACTTCCGGTTATACTTTTCGCGGACTTCGTTATATTAAAGCTTCATTATTAGTGGTAACGTTAACCGAGGTATGAGTATATACTAATAGGCAGAATTATTTCGGTCGTTAGCTGTTTGACCCAAATTAAGACGAATAAAAAATTAGTAAATAATGATACATATTTATATTAATTAGGTATCACTTTGTTGTCTACTGTTTCACAGCTTACAAGAGTTAAGTAACGTGAGCCGAGGAAAACGCTTGGATGGATGACCTTTGCTATTTTGGGACCATTAAAATGATTTATTAAGATTACATTTAATAAAAAAACATTTTAAATTAATTACCAGTTGATGGTCAATGTATAAAGAAACCTCTTAAGTTATAATCATACATTACACATGTATATTGATTATTTGGTTTTGAAATTTGATTACAGCAAAGATCTTAATTGGCTTACAACTGCTTTAATATGAAACCAATTCGATACGATTTGCAAAACCGCAAACTGTAAACCAACTAAGCCACCTCTGCAAAATTATTATTAAACAGATATCAAACGACACTACTACTAACTTCGTCCTCGACATCCGAGATCCGACTATGATGCCGATGGGAAATTATGCTGCAGCTTCATAATTAATCTCTCTAAACTCTGACCGGACTTTCACACGACCGCCTCCAGCGAAACAACATTCATACTGCACGCACCTCCGTTCCGTTGATGACCATGCCATTCAAAACACAGAAACACACTCGATTATTCTCTATTCCTTTGATGCTAATTCGCAATGTTAATTAAATGAGTTCCTCCAGGGCATCGTCAGAAGACACGGGAAAACATTGCACTTCGTAACAATATCAAACAAAAAAACTATGTTATTATTTTACAAGATCCGAGGCCTTAATTAAAACCTTTTGCAGCGTGTTTTTTTTTTAAAGTTGCGCGTTTCCTCTTCATCCTCGCTTATTTATTTATTTGCTTTTTCTCTCCACGGTTTATTTCACGGTTGGGAGTATATTACGTAAGCAAACAGAATCTCTCTCCCTCTTCAATGTTTGTTTGACGTTTAAAGTGCTCTAAATATCCGTTTCATATATATATTTTTTGCTCTAAGTAACACGTTTTCGTTTTAAAATATAAATATGGTTGCAATTATGAAAAGACGTAATTATAATCTCTTTTTTTTAATTAGATTTATGGTTTGATTTTGATGGTTAATTAAGTGTAAATAATAAATATATTTATTTTTCTTTTGATCTTTTCTTTACAGATTATAATTATGATTATAGAGTTATAACTCAGTTAACTTTGTGTAGCAAAACTTCGTTTTCAGGGGTAACAAATATTTTTCCTTCGTAATGTAATTGAAAAGCTTACCTTAAATTGCGGATTTAGTTATATTGAAACTTCTTTATCAGAAGTAAAGTTGACTTATTTTGATGCTTAATTAAGTATTAATGATAAATATATTTGTTTTTCTTTTGATATCTTCTTTACAGATTATAATAATTATACAGTCATAACTCAATTAACTTTGTTTAGCGAAACATCGTAAAGTAATTCAAAAGCTTTCATTAAATGTGAGTTTGAAATTTCCGATTTCTTTATATTGCAGCTTCTTTATCAGAAGTAACGTTGACTGAGGTATACATATATAAATCATATTTTTTCTAAAAATTACAATTTATTTGTTACACAATTATTTCAAATTAATAATTATTGTATTTTTATTTTGTTCTATTTAGTTTCTTTACAAATATGAATATGTTTAATGATCTCATTACAAATTACACTTTATAGCAGGAACACAATTTGATGCGCAATTTCATTAAAAGTAAATGAATGTGTGAATGCATTTAAATTGGAAGTAGCAACAAACTCGTCGATTGCCTGCTTGAGAGTAGCATTGAATGAGTTGTATATTTTTATTTTTTTATTCATCTATTTAACGTAAACAATAAAATGATGAATGGATGGAAGTGAATCATTCTATTTTCGCGCGATTCCTTTCTTCTTCCACGTATTACGTGCTTTGTGTAGGTTCTGCTCGTACAGCTTTGAATGCGGAGTAAATTAATCAAATCGTCCTTGTCCACTTACGTTTTCTTATTAATTCCATCCAATGTAATGTGCCAAAGATTGATGGTGATGAGATGGTCAAGATTAATTTTCGGATGAGAGCAAGAAAGAAAAGGACGACGAAGAAAGAAGGACGAAACAATTTAATTAGTTTCTTCTTGTGATGAAGTTTCAAGCTATTCGTTGAAGGCTTTGATGAATTCACCATTTGCAGAGTATGGAAATCATTCGGATCTTTGGTCCGACGAATTTATTCAATGGTTCGAAAGTATCAATGCGGAATTTGCATTTTAATGGGAAATATCCACGGGAATCGATAGATCGCAACCACCTCGGATTTCCTCGCGTTCGCGGAGGATCCTATTTATAAAATTTCAGGATGATTGCCTCGCTCCACTCGATGCCTCGCAATGATGACATCGGTTGGACAGTTTTGCTCTCGAGTCTCCCCATTGACACTGATGCTACTACTACCACCACCATCGCACAATATCGCGTAGATCTATATTTAAACGGCTAAATTGAAAGCATTGTTGTTCAGCCCTTTTAATTGCCGATGATACGAAGCATTCACCGCAAATGAATATTGATCAGACGAGTTATACAACTGCGACTATTTGATTTCTTGCTCAAAAATTAATGAATGAAAAACATTATGTAATATAATTCACCTTTCAGTTTAAATTCAAATTCTTTTTTTATAGCATACACTCTTTCTTCTTCGCAATTCCCAAATGATCGAAATGTAATTGAAAAAAAAAATGTATATATGCCTCGATACCATTGCAAGGGAATATTATTGACTGAAACCGGAGGGTATGTGCCTTTATCCACGCCTAACTCGATTGAATTTTCGAGTTCAATAGCGTCGCTTTTGTTGCTCTCTGCCTCTCCATCTCCTATCGAATCCACCCGACTGATTTTGTTTTGCAATCTTCGTTTCCTCTAGGTCTTCCGGAATTCTCATCGGAGATGCGCTTTTCAATAGACCCGCTCCCTGGAGATTCGGGCTTCTCGCAATGGCACTCCGCCATGAAGATGGTATCGCAACTGCCGGAAGGCATTCCTCTGGAGTTCCGCCGAAGACTATGGCTTTCTCTAGCTGACAAACACCTGAGCTTGAAGGGTATCGACTGGCCGAGGGTCGAGAAGAACTGCTTCAGCGAGTGGTCGCATCCGTCGGACGCTGAGCTCGGAGTGCAGATCGTTAAGGATCTGCATCGGACGGGATGCAGCCTGTTTTGCGGAAAGGATGGTCAAGAGAATCAGGCTTTACTGAAGAGAGTGCTTTTAGCGTACGCAAGGTGGAACAAGGCAGTTGGTAGGTGGTAACAAATTTATACATTATTTTTATCGCTATTCGAGACATGAGACAATGTATCAGGTCAATTATATACACATGACAGCACAGTTTGAATTTTATGATAATTAATAATAATTAGTTCAAATAAATCTTCAATTCAAATAAAAATTCGCCGATTCTCCAATTACTGTTAAATTTGCTAATTCATTGGGCTGATTCAAACTAAATTAAATGTGTTATTGATTTGGACCGGTTGTAATTTGTTTTTAGAGATTTATTAACTACATGCTCGTTTGGTTTTGGCAAGTATTGGTTAGTTATTCGAGATAATTGGATTGCTTTGTTTTTATTTAGGCTATTGTCAGGGCTTCAACATGTTGGCGGCGTTGATTCTGCAGGTTACCGAAAAATGCGAGTCGGATGCCCTCAAGTTGATGATCTACCTAATCGAAGGCGTTCTTCCCGATTCATACTTTGCGGATAGCCTTCGAGGATTGTCCGTTGACATGGCGGTCTTCCGGGAGCTGCTTCGAACGAAGCTTCCGCGTCTCTCCAGACACTTGGACACGTTGCAGGTGGCAGCCAAAGAAGGAACCACGAGTTACGAGCCACCTCTCACGAACGTCTTTACGATGCAATGGTAATACGACTCCAACGCACGTTGCGAAACGATTTAATAACGAACTTGCCTTTGCAGGTTCCTCACGTTGTTCTGCAATTGTCTGCCGCAGCCCACGGTTCTACGGGTGTGGGATTTGATTTTGCTAGAAGGAAATGAGGTGTTGCTGAGGACGGCCCTTGCTATTTGGCAGGTGCTCGCGGAGAGGATACTGGTGGTGAAAAGCGCCGACGAGTTTTACTGTGTTATGGGTGTGCTGATGAGGGAATTACTCGAGTACGATCTAATCGACGCGAATACACTGATCAAAGGGATTGTTGCGTTCGGTCCCTTAACGGAATTGAGCAATTTACGCGAACATTACCTCTACAACATTAACCCTTGGGGGAGCTCGCTGCCTGCGGCGGATCCGGATAGGAGGATGAAAGTGTACCATAAAGACAGATTAGTGCTGGACATTGGGGTGCTGAAGAAGCAGTACACTAAGCTGAAACAACGACAGCGACAAGCCCACATTATTTTCAATACAGCCGTGGCGAGACAGACGACTCGAACCGCTCCCGTCGCCATGAATCATCTTCTTCTGGGCAAAAGCGCTTTGATTCCGGCGAAGAGGTTAGGGCCACCGAAGGGGGCCGTACCTCCAGTCAGGCAACCTCCGAAAACTCTTCATTGGAAAGATACCCGAAGAGAATCTTCGTCTTCGTCTTCATCCGATACCGAACTATGCGATGATCCGGATGACAATTCCGATGGAGAAGCCGCTCAATTACCGCATGACAATCCAACACCCAGTGATAATAATATTACCGATAAAAGTGAAACGATTAAAGACGATACTCCAGAAGAGTTAAACCTTAGTGCCAGTGTAGAACCCGAAAACCTGCTGGACTTAGAAGCCCCGCTTAGTGAACCTTTAGAAACTAGTAACCAGGATAGTGCTAACAATATTTTTGATACGGAAACCCCAAGTGATTTATACGCGTTGGAGCGTTCGAACAGCTTACCCTCCGAGGATGGTTTCGACTTTGAGAAGTTCCTCGAAGAGCGAGTGCAATCTTTCAAGGAGAAAACGTTCTCCAGCGATGAGAGCATGGAAGACACTTCCGAGCTGGATCGCGTGAATTACGCACGAAGACATAGCCAACGTGCTTTGGAGATAATCCAGGAAAACTCTTTAATTCTGCACCGCATCTTGCAATGCCAGACTAGACTGACCCCAACTCCTCCGCCCACTGAAACCAGCCCAAAAGACGAGTCCACACCAACAAACGAGACGAATCCCATTGCGGAAGTATCCCCTTTAAATATAATCGATGACGAGTCGTCGTCGTTCATTAGTGAGTGCACCCCCGAAAATCCTTGCGACGACATAACGCAGGTCGATTACAACCTGGACAAGTACAGGAGCAAGTTGGGATCTCCCGTCAAGGAACTCATCGAGATCGATAAAAACTCCAAGTATAGCAGCATCCTTGAGTACAGCAGAGACCTGGATGAAAAGTTCAACAATCTCATCTTGAAATCAAACGTAATAAAAGCGTACAGCTTTGATGAAACGAAAGATGGCGAGTGCTCAAAGACGAGCTCGGAGGGATCGGATGAATGCAAAGAAGAGGGATCGAGTTCTAGTGCCAAGTCACCTAGCAGGGCTTACAACCCGTTTCCGGTGAACATCAGCTCGCGGCAGAACAAGGAAGTGCCACTTCGGCTGGGCTTGTACAAGAAGTGACAATATTTTGTGTTAATTATGTATTTTGCTTGCGCGTTTGAAGCAGATTAAAAAAAAACAACAAAATATATACATAAAAATACATACATACAACAAAATGTAATTACAAAATAAATTAAGAAATGATTAATTGATTCTGTGATCGAGCACAGGACAAAAAAAAATAATAATATTGGTAAGAATGAAAAATGTTTGTACATCGGAAAAGCTGTGCCACGTCCTAAAAGAAAGAAATATATTAATATTGTAGTGAATAAATATTATATATATAAATATATATTTACTTAAGAATGTTAAAGCGAGGTTGATTCAATAAATGTTGTTGGATTTTTCTTCTGTTTTTCTTTCTTTCTAATAGTCGTATTCTGGCAAAATTGGAGGACAAGTGCAGACCAGATGTTTATCGCCGTAGATGTCGTCTATCCTGGAAACGGTGGGCCAGATTTTCGTTTCAGGAATGATGAAGTGAATGGGGAAAGCCGCCTTTTCTCTAGTGTAGGGTCTTTCCCAGGTGCTGTTTATGACGACTTCTTGAGTGTGCGGGGCCATCTTCAACGGATTGATGCGGATATCCATTTTTCCTTCTTCGATTTCCTTGATTTCCTCGCGAATCGAGATGAGCGCATCGCAAAATTTGTCCAATTCCTGTTTATCTTCGGACTCTGTTGGTTCGATCATTAGAGTTCCGGCAACGGGCCAGGACATAGTCGGCGCGTGGAAGCCGTAGTCCATTAATCGTTTGGCAATGTCAACAGCTTCAATGTTCGCTGTCTTTTTTAAGTCTCTGATATCGATTATGAATTCGTGGGCGACGAGCTTCGATGTCGGTCCTTTGAACAGCGTGTTGTAGTGGGAGTCCAATCGCTTGGACATGTAATTGGCGTTGAGGATGGCCACTTGCGTTGCCTTCCGAAGTCCTCTAGGTCCCATCATTTTTATGTAAGCCCAGGAGATTGGAAGGATGGCCGATGACCCGAACGGAGCTGCGCTGACGACCTCATAGTTCGAGTTCGAGTTAGCTCCAAGTGGATTGACGACCGGATGACCTGGCAGGAATGGGGCCAAGTGTGATTTCACGCCGATAGGACCCATGCCGGGGCCGCCACCTCCGTGAGGGATGCAGAATGTTTTATGCAGGTTAAGATGGGATACGTCGCTGCCGTAATCCCCTGGGCGACATAAACCTACTTGAGCATTCATATTAGCTCCGTCCAAGTACACTTGTCCTCCATTCTTGTGTATTATCTCGCAGACATCAGCCACAGTCTCCTCGAACACTCCGAATGTCGATGGATATGTTATCATCAAACAGGACAACCTGTTTTTAAATTTATCAGCTTTCATCTTCAGGTCTTCCATATCGATGGACCCGTCCTGCCTCACTTTGACCGCCTCCACTCTCATACCGGCCATCTGGGCGCTAGCGGGATTCGTTCCGTGCGCGCTCACAGGAATCAAGCACACATCTCTATGCTTGTCCCCTTTGGCCTCGTGATAGTTTTGAATCGCCCTCAATCCAGCGTATTCTCCCTGGGCGCCGCTGTTCGGCTGAAAACTGATCCTATCGTACCCGGTGATTGCGCACAGATCACGCTCCAGTTCTGCAAACAACTGTTGGTAGCCGAGCGACTGATCGAGCGGTGCGAACGGATGGATGTCCGTGAAATGCTTGAAGGAGCACGGCATCATTTCCGTAGTCGAATTCAGTTTCATCGTGCATGACCCCAACGGAATCATGGAATGCACCAAACTCAAATCCTTATTTTCGAGAACCTTCATATACCTGACGATCCTAGTTTCCGAATGGTGCGAATTGAAGACGGGATGCGTTAAGTACGGCGAAGTCCTGTTAAACTCGCTCCTCGGTATGGAACCGTCCCTCATACCATTCGGATCGTTGATAAGGTCTTCTGCCTTTTGCGCACCTCCGAAGATGTAGAACAGATCGTTCAAATCCTCGACCCTAGTGGTTTCATCCAAAGAAACACCAACTGCCCCATCATCAAAATACCTGACGTTTATTTGCTTCTCTTGAGCCCTAGCCTTAACTTCATCCAACTCGATCTTAGGCTCAATTCTCAAAGTATCGAAGAACAAATCATTTGTAATTTTATTTCCATCTTTAGTTAATCCATGTTTTAACACCTAAAATGTATTGTAAATTTTATTAAAATGTTTCATCTTTGCCTGAATTATAATAATTACCAGTGTTAAATTATGAACTTTTGTTGCGATATCCTTAAGTCCTTGCGGTCCGTGGTAAACGGCGTACATTGCAGACATGTTTGCCAATAAAGCTTGAGCAGTGCAAATGTTGCTTGTGGCTTTATCCCTTCTAATATGTTGCTCCCTAGTTTGCAAGGCTAGCCTGTAAGCGTCGCGACCTGCAGCATCTCTGGTAACCCCAATCATCCTTCCTGGCATCAGTCTAACCAAAGACTGTTTGCAGGCAAAGAAACCAGCGTGAGGACCACCGTATCCCAAAGGAACTCCGAACCTTTGAGAAGTGCCCACAGCAATATCCACTCCAAATTCAGAAGGTGGTCTGAGCAGCGTTAAACTCAACAAATCGGTAGCGCAACAGACAAGTGTACCATTATTATGAGCATTTTCAGCTACAGTGCTGAAATCCAAAACGTTTCCCTCAGTATCCGGATACTGGAACAAGACACCAGCAATGTCATGGTTCGAGAAATCTGCTTCCATAACGTTGACGATCTCCATATTTAGACCTAAAGATTTCAAGCGGGTTTCTACAACGGAAACTGTTTGCGGATGAATCTTGTCGGAGATCAACATTTTCCTCCTCTTGTTCTGTCTGAAGCATAGGGAAAGGGCTTCAGCGGCAGCAGTGCCTTCATCCAGTAAAGAAGCGTTAGCCACCTCCAAACCAGTCAGTTCCGAAACCATGGTTTGGTAATTGAGGAGTCCTTCGAGACGGCCTTGCGCAAGTTCCGCTTGGTATGGTGTGTATTGCGTTGTCCAGCCTGGGTTTTCGAAAATGTTCCTCATTATCGTGTGCGGTACGCAACAGTTGTGATAACCCATGCCGATGTACGAGCGCCAGATTTGATTGCGCTCGGCCACCTTGCGTATCCGATTGATAAGGTCATATTCATCTAAGAAAGAAATAATAAATAAGTATATCTTATAGGACCCCCCGGAGACTGAATTATCGCGCGACCTTCGCAACCTTATCGAAAGTCGCAACTTACTCGTCGGTTCCTCGATTTCCAAAGGCCTGTTTAGACTAATCCTCTTCGGCACTGCGTTATCGGTCAACTCATCAAGACTCTGAAAAAATATAAAGTTGAAGGTGATGCGACGAACTCTTTCATTGCACAATTATTAAACAAAATAATTTCAAGACTTTGTATGGAAACTAACAGTCATGATAATAAGAGTTTGTTTCTGAAGGTTAATTAAAATGAAGCTTCAAAGCGAATTTCGCCTTTGATACGCCTTTGAAGATCAATTGCTTCATATTTTCATCTTTCTATACACACGTACAAAGCAAAATTAATAAGTTTCTATTTTAATAAGCTTTTTTATCTTTTTCATTTCTCTCAAACTAATTTAGTTTTTTATATTAGCTCTTGTTTATGAAGCATAACATTTTTTTTTATCGTTTTATTTGGAACAAAACTAAGTATTTTTATTGTTCTAACATTTATTTAAATGCATTTCCAAACATTTTCTAATTTTTACTACACTCTTCTCAAGTAGTTACAGGTCGTTAAATAATGAAGAATCTACAACACCCTGTACATTTATTTATGTATCTCTCGCCGCTAATAAACTTACTTTATATCCTAATAAATCCAACATAGTAACGATATCGCGGTCCCTGGGGCCGATGTGTCTGCTGGGGAAGTCATCCTTCCTTGGAAAAAGTGGATCATCCGGACGAGCTGCGCTGCTGAAGCACCGCAACCCGGACAACCTAGGTACAACGCGATGCGTTCTCGCTACGATCTTATACATGCTTAAGCCTTTTCGAACTGGATTTAAATTAACTTAAACTAATTAAGAACTAGGTGGAAAAAGGAACGAGTGCTCGAAGACGGATTATCTCTGGAACTGGGACCCCACCGGGATTCGAGGCTTAAGTAGTTTCGAACGGGTCAAACGATAACGATTTACGGTCACCCAGTCGTAAGATCACATTGCGAAAAAATATAAATAATAAAAAAAAATGATACACATCGATCTAAATGTGTAAATATTTCTACTCTTTTTTTTTGGCTCTTGTATGAACCGAAAATTGATTAACTATGTTTCAATCAAAACATATTTTTGTCGTGCATCGGGACATGCGAAAGAGAACGGCGAGAAGATTTTGTTTTTGATTTATTTTTTAAATATTTTTTAATTTTGCTTTCGATATCGTTGATACCAGTCGATGCCAATTTCAGTTCACTTTCTGCAAACATGCCTTCGGCTTATAAGATAATACGCAGTTGGATCAAATTGAAAAGTAAATATCTGTTACTTAAGATAATGGAGTGAACAACAATTATATTTATATAAATGCATTAGATTAGGTACATATTCTACTTAATTAATTGTATACCAATATTTTGAATTTATTAATAAAGTATGTAACAGTACAAATTTAATCATTTTGCCATCCTGTAGAATCCAATTAGATTACAGAGGAACCTCGCTTAACGAGTTTAATCCGTTCCAATATTTCCGGATTTTTACTCGTAAAGTGAAAGATATTCAAAAATACACATAATATATGTACACAAGTTTTAATAATGATGTAGCAGACGCGCAATACGGGACTTCTTTTCTCATCGTCACTTGTTATGCAAAACGTCGCATAAGCGAGTCATTTTTCTTACATTTCATTTTGCTCGTTATGCGAGGTTCCACTGTATTTTAATTAATGACTTTGTTATAATTAAAGTTAACTTCAATTCAAACATAAAGTACCTAATAAAAGTGATTGATTTAATTGCAGTTAATATTATGTAATAATCAATAAATATTAATCAAGTTATAAAAATAAATAAATTTCAAATTCGAACATTTATTTTATCGGTAGCAATCGCAAGCCCGACAACCGAAATACCGCCAATCAAATTCCCGACGTTTGAAATGCCGATTGTATCGAAATCCTGACTGTATCGAAATCCTGACTGTATCGAAATCCCGACAACCATAATCCCGACTATATTAAAATTCCGACAACCATAATCCCGACTGTATCAAATTCCCGACTATATCGAAAGTGTCTACAATAACATTTTTAAATTATTCCGGAGTGTAGTCACTTTTAAATTGTTATTTATAATAAATAACAGCAATTAATAATCTAATTATATTTGAGATTATTTCATAATGTTAATTTCAAAATCAAATAAATTAATAATAATGTATTGTTATTAATAATAAAAGTGTAGCACAAGGAGACTACACTCCGAAATAATTTAAAAATGTTATTGTAAAAAAATTCGATATAGTCGGGATTTTGATACAGTCGTTATTTTGATAGAGTCGGGATTATGTTTGTCGGAATTATGGTTTTCCAGATTCTGATACAGTCGGCATTATGATTGTCAAGATTTTGATATAGTCGGGAATTCGAACGTCGGGATTATTAATAGTAATCAACATTATATTTAATTATTCAAATTACTAATCTAAAACTTTAAATGAGAACTGTATTAAAAATTTTAAACTCCAAGTTATTACATAAAACCAAATGATGTTCTACACAGTGGTTGGCAAACCGGGTAAAATTACCTCAAATGGGGTAATTAATTAATTTTTTGATGTAATGAGATCGTTTACTAATTAAAATTGCATGTATCTATGAAAAATATGATCATTTGTCTTCTCTCCAGGGTATTACCAGCGTGAATATATTTTATGGTAATAGGTAAAAAGTTTCTCGACCCCTAATTTAGAAGCATAGTGAAGTATGCAACTTAGTTATCTTATTGATTCACACGCCATCTATCAGTAAATCTACATAAAAATCTGAATAACAAATTCCGAAGGTAATCAGTTCAAAACTTATACTGCAAATGACTATTGACCATAGGTTTTTAATATTGTATTTGTTTTAAATAGACTATATTAATTAAAATCAAATTTATAATCCGTTAAAGACGATATCCATTACCCGAATTATTCGTTAATCGATCATCAATTTAAGATTTTTATCATCACTGGCGTTGTCTGAACATAAAAATCTTTCGTGAAAGTATTCGTTGTCTGATTTGTTTGCAGTCCGAACCACAAGCACCCTAGTTTTACATTAATTTCGTGTGATTATTAGTGTATATGAATAATTACAGTTTTCTAGATGCCGACATCTATTGAATTTAAATTTAATTAAATGAAATTTAGTTTAAATATTATTTTCATATAATTTTTGTATATAAATAATGGATATGTTAAATATAAATAATAAGAAAGACAATTTGATAATTACTTTTCATTTTTTTTTTAAATTGTATTTAATTTGTAAATATATAATTGAGTCATTATATAACAATTGTAGCTGCATTTATTTGACCTGTCTACTAGATAAAGCTGACTTTCCTAAAACATATCGTTAAATCGAGATTAGTAGTAAACATATGGTTTTATACTGCATTCAGTGAAAATAAGAGGAAATGTATTAAGTAAATTTACTTTGATTAAAATATGTAATTAATTTGGTTATTTATTTACTTTTATTATTGCAAAGATAATAATTAATAGATTGATACAATAATTACTGACATAATGTTTTGGTCAGATAATGAAAAGTTAATTATTAGATTTATTTTGTTACAAATGGAGCAGGATTTTCTATTATGTGCATTTAATATAATTGGGTCGGAACTGGAGAAAGCAGTTTTTACGAAAGAATCAGAAAAGAGAATTGGAAAAAGTGACTGTATCTAGGTTTTATAATACGTTAGCACACAAAAAAATCTTTAGAAAAAAAAAGAGAAACATTGCCACGATATTAATTGTATCATAGGCTTAGTGTATTCCCTTTATTTTGTTATTATGAGCAACAAGTATCAATAGGTAAAAATAGTATATATAAATGACACGTTATTTATAAATACTGATTAGTTGAATTCGCTGATTAGATAAATATTTTTGAACACATCTTGTCAACATATTTTTTTAATAAGTATTATTGTTTTGGATATTTCTGCTTTTAATTAGAATCCTTAAATTTAATTCAATAAATTTTCTCTTTAACTAATTCTATACCAATGTAATCAAATTTTAGATTTAATCTTTAATTAAAAATAAGATATTACGGCACTATTTCTATCTCCAAATAGTGTTTATCAATGGTTATTGCTTTTAGAAAGCAAATATTTTGGAAAGTTGTCAAAAATGACATTCACAATAATAGATAATTAAGAACTGTTCAATATATAAATTTGATAATAATCATATTTATTGAAACAGTTACATAAAACGTAGATGAAAACTGTAGGTCTTTCCGCACTATATACATTTATTTAATTGAATACAAAAAAAAAGAAAATGCATCAAAACCTCAATAAAAAAAATGACCCAGTTACCAATAACATTCTTTTATTTATTCAATATCTATCTTTTCTCTACTGACAAATTAGCAATTATAATTAGAACCATACGTTGCTTTTATTATATGTGGAATTTGATAAAAGTGCTTTGCATTTCTACAATTCACGAAATAATTGAAATAAATGTATATTAAGATTGTCATAAATACTGTCAAAATGTATATTTACTATATTACTTGTATATTACATAATGATGATATGTTCTTATATAATTATTTCAACAGGATTTGTAGCATACAAGTAATTATGCTTGTGATGCATTGGAGAGTACCGTTAACTGCATTGTTAAAGAAGACAAATTTTATATAACTGATAATAAATAATAATATTCCCTTTTCTTTAAGCAACAAATAAAAACTTATAATTTGTAAATGAATGTAATCTAATAGTTAATAATACAATTTAGTATTTGATAAATAATTAATTAATAGATTTTCTTTGTTTTATATTTTTTATACTATTATGTTTATTTATGTTAACAATGTATATTCTAATTTATTTAATTATTAGAACAAAGATCTAGTTATCTGTAAATCATTGATAATTGTTTATGTTTAATTGATGTAAACATGCAATCTTCTTCTTCCCCATTTTGCTCTTCGTAATTGTATTTGATTAGTCTAGTTTTTCAGGACTTTTCAGGTGTATTTTTTTAATTTTATGATTACGGGACAATTTATCTCTGAAATTATGCTTTTTTCAGGAGTTTTCAGAAGTTTGTTGTAAGATTCAGTAGGTATGCAACTTATGGAGCATCTGTTGGTTGGAGCTAGGTGGCCAACTCGTCCGCTCCCTGGTGGCACTTTCTAGAGTCAAGTCGCCAACATCACCGGTCACGTGATAGCTACAGAGTGCTACGTGTACGTGTCGTGTCAGTCGGACAAGCCAAATATTCGAAAGTACCGTAAAGTGTGGATGTGTGCGGGCCATTCCACGACCCACCATCAAAGAGACAAGTGTTTCCCCACATATTTTGGACCGCATCCAAGGAACCGTATAGCGGGCATCTGTGATCCAGTCAATAGGAAGTCTTCAGAAAACCCACCACGATGGGCAGTAAGTATCCAAACGTTTTTCATTCAATCCATCTAACGTCGCGCACGTCCTAAGAGAAAAAAACATATTTATAGCGTGCCCATACGCCGCGGTGTTCATCTTTTTTTTTTGCTTACGTATACAAGCCACAAACGCTCACCCTTGTGTTTACTCTGTTCACAGTCAAATTCCTGGAGGTGATAAAGCCCTTCTGCAGTATACTGCCAGAAATCGCTAAACCCGAAAGAAAGGTGAGGTTATTTTCCGTTATTTCACCACTTTTCTATCTATAGCTGCAATCTGCGATCCAATAGGAAACGTATATTACGTTCGTCGGTGGTTTCCCCACAATATTGTATTATAGATTCAGCATTTGGTGCCACTTTTCATTCATGCTTTTCAGCCCAACAGCTGTGTTGTTTTTTTAGTACATGTGGCACCATTTAAATGGATTGCAAAGTTCAATTGCTTATTGAGTGCATCCACTAATTGTTTCTTGTTCTTTCTAGATCCAATTCAGGGAAAAGGTATTATGGACTGCAATCACTCTGTTCATCTTCTTGGTTTGTTGTCAAATCCCACTGTTTGGTATCATGAGCTCAGACTCTGCAGATCCTTTCTACTGGATCCGTGTTATTCTGGCCTCAAACAGGGGTACACTCATGGAACTGGGTATCTCTCCAATCGTAACATCTGGTCTTATCATGCAACTGTTGGCTGGCGCTAAGATTATCGAAGTCGGTGATACGCCAAAGGACAGGGCTTTATTCAACGGAGCTCAAAAATGTATGTAGCTTTCTTGAAATTTATATGCACAGGTTGTAATTATTTTTTTGTGTATATTTTAGTATTCGGAATGGTGATCACTGTCGGCCAAGCCATTGTCTACGTAATGACTGGAATGTACGGAGACCCAGCCGAGATCGGCGCTGGCGTCTGCTTGTTGATCATCATCCAGCTGTTCGTCGCTGGTTTGATCGTGCTGCTTCTCGATGAGTTGCTGCAAAAGGGCTACGGTTTGGGATCTGGTATTTCCTTGTTCATTGCCACCAACATCTGCGAAACCATCATCTGGAAGGCGTTCTCTCCTGCCACTGTTAATACTGGCAGAGGAACCGAATTCGAAGGCGCCGTGATCGCCTTGTTCCACCTTCTGACTACCCGCCAAGACAAAGTGCGCGCTCTCAGGGAAGCCTTCTACAGGCAAAACTTGCCCAACTTGATGAACCTCCTCGCCACCATCCTCGTCTTTGCTATAGTGATATACTTCCAAGGCTTCCGTGTTGACCTACCAATCAAGAGCGCCAGGTACCGTGGCCAATACTCCAGCTACCCAATCAAACTTTTCTACACCTCAAACATCCCGATCATCCTGCAATCCGCCTTGGTTTCCAATCTGTACGTGATCTCGCAAATGCTGGCCGTTAAGTTCCAAGGGAACTTCATCATCAACCTTCTCGGTGTTTGGGCCGATGTCGGCGGCGGCGGTCCAGCTAGGTCTTACCCTATCGGCGGTCTCTGCTACTATCTGAGTCCACCGGAAAGCGTCGGACACATCCTCGAGGATCCCGTCCACGCTGTCCTCTACATCACCTTCATGTTGGGCTCCTGCGCTTTCTTCTCCAAGACCTGGATTGAGGTCTCTGGATCTTCATCGAAGGACGTAGCTAAGCAACTCAAGGAACAGCAGATGGTGATGCGCGGACACAGGGACAACTCCATGATCCGCGAATTAGACAGATACATCCCAACTGCCGCTGCCTTTGGCGGTCTCTGTATCGGAGCACTCTCCGTACTCGCCGACTTCATGGGAGCCATCGGTTCCGGAACTGGTATCCTCCTCGCCGTCACAATCATCTATCAATACTTCGAGATCTTCGTCAAGGAGCAAAGTGAAATGGGCAGTATGGGAGCATTACTATTTTAAGTTTTTTTTTGTTAATTATTTATCTATTTTTTTAACGTAATGAAATCGAAATATTATGAGAGCTTATCTTAAGCTTGACTGATATTGTGATTAGAAATATTGATTACTTTCGAAGACGCGATTGATTTCAATCCCTACTCCCATCCCATAAACAATCATTCATTTTTTTTTTCTTTTTCCTCTTTTCTTTAACTACTAAGGATACAAAAGTGATCAATATTTTTACTTAGTTAAAATTTTTCAAAGACGGACTACTCGTAAAGGATGGTCGTACACGAAGTTTTGTACTAAAATAATAAAAGAAAACTTTATAAAAAAAAATAAGAACATTTATTTACTTCTTTCTCATTTGTAAAATAGACATTAAGTATGTATAGAGTGCGTGTTCAATTGATCTTTACGGTTATGATTTTTGTTTCACAAGAAAAATAATCCAACCGCCCATATTTAATATATATAAAAAAAAATGATATATATATTTACAAATTTAATGTATATTGAATGTTGTTAATTTACATTATTCCATATTTTTGTCATATTTATAAATTAAGTTTTTTTTTGTGCGTTTATTGCACAAACAGCAATAAATCCAAAAAGAAAGAAAAAATCTTTTGAACGTTTTTTTTGTGTGTTCAGTATTACATGTGGGTCCTAAAATTAAAGACTATATTTAATATTTATAAGACCCTTTATGTTTCTTCGTGAAATTTAACAATTCTTTTGAGAAAGCAATAAATGTTTACATTAAAAATTATGGAAATCATTTTAATTTTTATGCTAAATCAGAGTATTAGATTTCACTGAAATCATTCAACACTAGTAAGTAAGTTTGTAATTATTTCAAATAGTTTCGTTTTTCTTTTAGTTTGTATTCAAGAAAATTATATGATTAGGTAACTTTTAATATATTGATAGTTTTGAAATGTTAGTAGTTATTGAGATTTTAGGATTCTTTGGTTTGGTTTTTAATTTCATGGAATTTTATGTCGCAAAGAAGTAATATTAAGTTGCTTCAGATTTCCAAAACTACTAGACAGGAAGTGAGTCACGACAGGAACATTTCCATCGTGCATCTACTTTATAAGTAGTTGTGGCTGATAATTACCGAAAGAATGGCAGAAATAGGGTTGTGAACATAAAAATAGTAATATCTTTATTTTAAAATGCAAAAAAAAACAAGTTTATTTTTGAATGACAATAATTATTACGTTATATATGGTTTAATTGTACATAAATCCATACAACGTTTGATTATATGGTTTAAAATAATCGCTTCCAACACGGATTATTTACATTGATTCTTATGTGGAAAATAGTAGAATAAGTTTCGGTATTCGAACAACCTAAATTATATTCGATATAAGATCGGTATTATGTTGGTTACTTCAGAAAACGAATACATGTGGATGGATACACAACGTTCTTATAAAGTAGGTTTTTATGCATTATTAGAAAGCTTCAGATGAGCAATCGATCTACGCTTCCTACACTGACTATATACATTTTACATAGATACTTATGGGGAAAATAGAAGATGTTTCGGTCTTCGAACATCCTTTAGAAAAAAATATGTTCGCAAACCGAGGTATCGTTAGATATCGAATATTTTGGTTTTCGAACATAAATCCACACATCGTTCTTATATTGTTTAATAAAATTTGATGGGCAGAAAGACCAATAGTCCTTTGTAGCATTTGACTTTTTATTATTGTTGTATTTAAGTTTTATTTTGTATTTCTAATTGTTGCAATAAATACTATTATTATAATTTAAAATACGCTTCAAACGCAGATTATATACATTTTACTTTCATACTTATGGGGAAAATAGAAAAAGTTTCGGTTACGAACATTCTTACAAACAAATTATGTTCGATAAATGAGGTTGTACTGTATATCTTCTCATTGGTGCGTTTCATATTCCGTTCCGTTGCTTATAGGCCATCTGGTGGTTGTCATCACAAATCAAATTTTAAATATTTTTGGGCGCCATTGCATGCCGATGGTTGTTTTCCTCCTGACATAACCTTCCTTAAGGATCGTTTTTTTTTTCTTCATAATTCGGCATTTGGTTTCTTATATTCCTGGTGTTTGTTGGTGATTACAGAAACGATAGGTGTACAGAATTAGCTACAATGGACTTCTTGGAGTATTCCGACGTTTCTGCGGAAATCAAGGGCTGCATGGTATGTATTCAACATGTTTTCATTTCAACTTTAATAATTGTTCTTTGTTATTAGACCACGGGCAGGATCAAAATGACCGATCAAAATATAGTATTCAAAAACAGCAAGACTGGCAAAGTTGATCAAATCCAATCCAACGATTTGGAGATGGTCAACTTCCAGAACTTCGCTGGCTCTTTGGGTATAAGGATATTCTTAAAGAATGGTACCTTGCACAGGTTTGCTGGGTTTAAGGATTCAGAGAAGGAGAAAATTGCAAAATTCTTCTCTAGCACATACCAAATGGACATGTTAGAGAAAGAGCTCAGTCTCAAGGGCTGGAATTGGGGTACAGCCAAGTTCAATGGATCTGCTCTAAGTTTTGACATTGGAAGCCACAGCGCATTCGAGATACCTTTAAATCATGTCTCACAATGTAACACTGGAAAGAATGAAATTACCATGGAATTTCACCAGGTTTGTTAATTTGTTGCAATGATACCACTGTATCTAAAACTATTGCTTTTTATTTAGAATGATGATGCACCAGTAAGTTTAATGGAAATGAGATTTTATATACCATCAAATGAATTGAATGGGGAATTAGATCCAGTTGAGGCATTCCAACAACAAGTTATGCAGAAAGCAAGTGTTATTAGTGTTTCTGGAGATGCCATTGCTATCTTCAGAGAAATTCATTGTCTCACTCCACGGTTTGTACTTTACATTAAAATCAAACTGTTTCTTTATTAATTTCTTGTTTTTAGTGGTCGATATGATATCAAAATATTCAACTCTTTCTTTCAATTGCACGGAAAAACGTTCGATTACAAAATTCCCATGTCCACTGTTTTGCGTATGTTCGTGCTACCTCACAAAGATTCTAGACAAATGTACTTTGTCGTTAGTTTGGATCCGCCTATTAAGCAGGGTCAAACCCGTTACCATTATCTTGTTCTGTTGTTTGGGTTGGATGAGGAAACATCTATAGAATTGCCGTTTTCTGAGTAAGATAATAGAAGATTTTATGTGTGCTTGAATAATTAATTGATGATTTATTATAGAGAGGAGTTGAAGGATAAATATGAGGGTAAATTGGATAAGGAGTTGTCTGGGCCTACATATGAAGTTCTTGGAAAGGTCATGAAAGTTATTGTAAATCGCAAGATCACAGGTTCCGGTGGATTTATTGGGTGAGTTCTAAGTAGAATATCATGTGAAAGCAAGTAAATGTATATTTTTATTTACTACAGACATACTGGAACTCCAGCAATTGGATGTTCGTTCAAAGCAGCTGCAGGATATTTGTATCCTCTCGAACGTGGTTTCATGTACGTGCATAAGCCTCCTCTTCATATCAGATTTGAAGAAGTTCTTTCGGTGAATTTCGCTAGAGGAGGCGGAAGCACGAGATCTTTCGACTTTGAGGTCGAGCTAAAATCAGGAACAGTGCACACCTTCAACAGTATTGAAAAGGATGAATACAATAAACTGTACGACTTCATAAGTTCTAAGAACCTGAACGTTAAAAATCGTGGTAAAAACGTAAGTTTCATACCTGCACAGGAAGGTTACAAGAGGTGCATTAACTGTATTATTCAATGTTATAGGATAAGACGAGCAGGAAAGATGACTTTGGAGATTCAGACGACGAGAACGAACCGGATGCCTACTTGGAGCGTGTCAAAGCTGAAGCGCAGGAACGCGACGACGATGACGGTGGAAGCGATGAGAGTACAGATGATGATTTCAACCCGGATCAGGTGGAGAGCGATGTGGCAGAGGAATACGATAGTAACCACACGGACAGTTCTTCAGACGACGATGAGGAAGGTTCTGGTAGTGGTGGTGGATCAGGTAATCATAAACATTTAAACAAAAAGTCGACAAATATTAAAAAACATGACAAAGCAACAGATGGGGATTCTAAGAAAAAGGAAAAGAAACAGAAGAAGGAGAAGAAAGAGAAAAAGCCAAAGGCTGCGAAAACCGTATCGGAGAAGCCGAGGAAACCACGCAAACCGAAGAAGGAGAAGGATGCGAACAAACCGAAGAGGCCGCCGACCGCTTTCATGATTTGGCTGAACGAGACCAGAGAGGAGATCAAAGGTGATAATCCTGGTATCAAGGTGACTGAGATCGCCAAGAAGGCAGGAGAAATGTGGAAGGAGCTCAAAGACAAATCGCAGTGGGAGAAGAAGGCTGTAAAGCTCAAGGAGGATTACACAAAGGCCATGAAGGAGTATGAGGAATCCGGAAGCGCAGCAGAATTCAAATCAAGGACGAAAGCAGCCGCTACAGCATCAAAGAGCAGTAGCAGCAGCAGCAAGTCTGTCAAATCATCGCCAATGAAAGGTGGAGATTTTAAGAGTAAAGAGTACATCGAGAGCGATGATGACAGCTCCGACGATGACAAAAAGAAGACCGCTACCAAGAGGAAGGGATCTGATAGCGATGATAAATCGACTAAAAAGAACAAGCCCAAAGAATCCGAATCAGAAGAAGCGGAAAGCACGGGGGCTTCCAGTAATGAAAGTGATTAAGTTTTTATTTCAATATTTGTTTTTATAAATAAAAATAAAGAATTCCAGTTCTTATATTTCTATGAGAAACTATTATATATTTTTCTCAACAATAGGTTTAAACATTATATATAAAAATAGTAGATTCGAATAATAAAAAGAATACTGTTTTTGTTAATTAACATATAATATCTTGTAGAGACTTTTTGATTTTCATGAAGTTTCGTTTAAACTCCAAACCGCAACCTTTCGATAAGCGGAAATCCACTAACATTTTGCCATCCATCTCTAAGATGTTTGCTTTGAAGACGAGCTGCATCCGTTTGGCATCCATCAGCGATATAGTTATCTGCAACAAAAAAAATACAATTGTATAACATATTAAAATGTTATATCGCATTTACTAACCACGCCAGAAGGATCTGAATTCCAATTGTAACAAAGCTGATCAAGGACTTTGCACAATTGCATTGTGGTTTTCTCACATGATGTCTTAACGAAGAATCTGGTCATCCTCTTAATGAGCTTCTGGAAGTTGTTCTAAAATAGAATTGCGATTGATTATAAATGGTGATTATTATGGTATAATCGGTTAGTCTTACCTGCGTCAATGGACTCTGTGTGAAATGCAACTGGGAATTGACTATGAGATCATCGTTGCTCGTTGGCTGCGAGAAGCACACCTGTTCACGATTCTGCATAAGAATGGCCAATCTCTCCGGAGCAATGTTATTGGCAATTCTTGGGGCAGGTTGAGACGACGTAACCGTCGGCGTCTCGTGCGATCCTTCATAGTCTGCAATGGACGCTTGCCGTTTAGCGTTAGGTTCACATGCATTATCAGGTTCATCAATATCACAAGAAGCTAAAATCTCAACAAATTAGAACGAGATCCATTAAAAGAATGCTTAACTACGTTTTTGTGTGTGCTCCAGTTGTCGGTTGAGGGCTTTCTGCTTTGGTAATTTAGCTTTATGAAATATCAAACACATCATTAAAGACTAAATTGCCAAAGTAGAACCACCCCTCAGGCAGCAAATGCTGAGAAGTAATTGCATTTACGAATACATAACAAATAGAAGACTCAAACCTGAATCTGGAAATTTGATGTTCATCCAAGGATGCTGTAATATTTGCGAAAGCGTAGGTCGTGCTTTAGGTTCATGGGTCAGCATTTTCCTGGCCAGGCTGAAAGCCACATTTGTGAGTTTACTCCAAGGTGTCTGGGTGATGCACGTATCTTTCATCCATTGGCTATACTCCCTGCATTCCTGTGTGGGTTCATCCCATGGCAATTCTGCAAAACTGTTTAATCTCACTATGGTTTTCATTTTATTATTCTTGAACTAACCTCCAGCCAGCATGGCAACAAAAACTATACCACAAGACCACAGATCAGCTGGCTCTGCATAATACGGCTGTTTTAATACTTCCGGCGCTACATAGGACAGAGTTCCACATCTAAAATGAGACATTAGTCTTGACAATTATTGACTTTACTGAAAAAAATACTTTTTGTCCAAAAGTCTTTGCTTTCCTCTCAATCTGAATATTGTGGCCATGCCAAAATCACTGATCTTCAAATTACCATGCTCATCAAGCAACAAATTTTCTGGTTTTATATCCCTGTGAGTAATCCCTTTAGAATGCAAATATTCCATACCATTTAAAAGTTGCTTCATGTATTTTTGTGCATCTCCTGCATACATGCCAATATCAGGTTCTAAACAAACATACCATGAACATCATTTGTATAGTAAAAGATTAATCAATAATCACCTATCTTATTGAACAGTTCTCCACCAGATGCATACTCCAAGAATATATAAATAGTATTGGGCTCTTCTCTCTTTCCCAATATTCGTATTATATTTGGATGCATCATGAGTTTATGGATTTTCTCCTCTTTGGTCACACATTCTTTAGCATCCTTGCATTTCCTCAGATCTACAACTTTCATTGCAACAGCTTCCCCAGATACCTGGTGCACAAGAAGTTTGACCCTGAAATTAAGTATACATATAAGATTGAACTCAATAACATAACAAATAATGATTGACATACTCTCCATAAGCTCCCTCACCTAGCGTCTGGATAATAAGCCACTCATCCACAAACTTATCCATGTCTTCATTCAACACTTAACACCTTTAGTTTATTGAGACTGAAGGTAATAACACAATTAATATTTATAACACTAATAAAACTGTTTACTCACTACTTATAATTCAGTTAAATATTGTTTATCCACATAACAATAAACAATGAACAGTTTTTAGGAGATATTTACACTGCATGATTATTGATTTATGAAAATTTAAGTTGTTTCAAGTGCGGTTGAAAAGCACGTTGTTACATTAGCATGAAGTTAGTTTCAAATAGCTTCAAATGAAACTCAAAACCATACTGTTTCAAGATATTCTTACAATTCTGACAAAATATATTTCTTTTAAATATCTAATTAGTATGTGTCTACACGATAATGGCAATTTATTAATTTAATTAAATATCTGTGTGAATAATTACAATAAAATTTGAATCATTTGAATTAGGTTCGAAGTGGTTCGAAGCAAATTGGGCAACCTGATGCAATTTAAGTTCCTGCAAAATATAATATTACTATAAATAAGATAACTAAATTCACTGATGTTTATTTATATCTTTTGTGTAGCTGGTTGTGTAGTCATTTGTACATAGTTTGTAATTTTGTGATGGTTTGATATTTTAATAAGGTAATTTAGTAATTATTTTAATTGGCTTCAAATAATATTGCGTGTAAAATAAAATTTAAACAAAATAAAACTGTATTAAGTTAGAGTATGGACTATTTTATTTTTATTATTTCCTAGATTATCAATAATGAATGAACCAAGGATTATAGGGGATTGGAAAAATTTATTAACTTTGGGATCAGGTGGCTTTGGTACAGTTACTCTTTGGAAAAACAGCATCACCAATGATTATATTGGTTTGTTCTATTTAAAAATTGATATTTTCTAACCATATATCCACTGTATCCATGGAATGACTCATAATTGACCATTCAAATTTCAGCAATAAAAAAATGCAAATGGACATCACCTGAAAATATTCCACTGAAGCAGAGGAAACGTTGGTGCAATGAGGTTGATATTATGAAAGAGATTAAGCATGAGAACATCGCGAGTTACAAGCCGATGCCGGATCTGTTGGCCATGGAATTGGAGAAGTACAATAAGAGTCTCCTTCCGATGCTCCCGATGGAATACTGCGAGAACGGGAACTTGCGAATGTTCTTGAAGCAACCGGTCAACATATGCGGCTTGCAAGAGGAAGAGTTGCGGTTCTTTCTTAAGGACATGAACAGTGCCATAGCGTATTTGCACAATAGAAAAATCACTCATAGAGATATTAAGCCAGAGAACATCGTCAGACAAAAAATTGGAAAAGAACAAAGAATGAATTGCAACATATACAAACTGATCGATCTCGGATATGCGAAGGAACTGAACTCCGTGACCGTCAGCTTCGTAGGTACACTTCACTATTTAGCTCCAGAGATTCTGATGAACGAAACATATAACTGTAACGTGGATTACTGGTCATTCGGTATTGTCGTCTTCGAAGTAATCTGCGGGATATTACCTTTTTTGCATAGAAAGAACCCAGCGCAAAGGTTATAATACAGACATCAACAAGTTAAAATCTATTAAATATGTTTCTTTTTTTCTTGAATTTCAGACATGAATGCTTGATTAAGAAGTCGCCTGATGTAATTTACATATACGAAACGCTCTCAGGCGAAACGAAGTATTCGAACGAGATCACCATCGAAAACAATGTTTCTCCTTTACTAAGGAAGCACCTAGAAAGATGGTTGAGGATCATGCTCAGATTCGATCCCAAAGACAGGGGACTTACTGGTAATAGTAGGAACGTCTTTGAAGAATTGGATCATATCCTGAATACGCGCATAATCCGCGTATTTTCTGTTTTCAATTATCGCATTTATCATTACGAGATCGATGACACTACTATGTTAAGTACGCTGATGGATTGGATCAAAACTGATACTAGCATCTCCATCGAAGATCAATTGCTCATTATGGATAACGTGTATTACGATAACAATGATAGGAAAGTCTTCGAATGTTTTGACGATGTTGGTTTCTATTCGCAAGAATCGCTGCTTTACAATCTATATAAATATTTATTATTTCCAGATAAGACCAAATAGCCTTTTAATGCTTTTCAACAAGAGAAGTTTCAACGATAATTCTAAGATTAATTTTCCGGTGCAGATCAGAGGTCTGTTCTCGCCTAAACCATTGAATATTGACATACTGAAGACGTGCACAAACTTCGCCGCCAATTACATGCTGAACCAGGCGAATCTGATGAACTGCACTAGGAAAGCGCTTCGGAACCAGTACGATTACACAGCTAATTTGTTCTTGAAGGAGTGCCAGTCTTTGGATCAGCTGAAGACCGTTTCCAATAGACTGCTCATATTGATTGGTGTTCTGAAGAATGTTAATTGTACGCGTCTAGGGATGAGTGCGGATGCCATCAAAGAACACAATAAATGTTTGAGGCAATGCAAGGAACTGATTGAGAACGTTAACGCAGCAAATTCTCGACACAGGAAACTCTGTGTACAGGAGACGGTGCTGAATGCGTCCTACAAACGCATCTCTTCCTTTCTGAATGATCTGAATCCAGAGCGATAGTAGGTTTGCAAAGGTTTCTAAAAAAAACATTGCTGATCTTACTGTTTACCAGTTTCCAGGAAGCCATGGCGTGTACTTCAATTTGCAGCAATATGGAGCAGAAGCCTAGGAAGATCGTTGTGCTGATAAATACTTATGTCAAAGAACTGTATGAGCTACTCCAGAATGATGATATCATCGTACATTTCCCGTAAGCCATTCATTCATATTGATTCACCATACCAGACGATTTAATTATGTATTTGCAGAGCTTCCATGAAGTTTTTACGAGAAACTGTGAGACTAATGAAGTGGATACGTGCACTTCACGACGAAATATTGTTTATGGACGAACAACTGCAAAAGAATCACGTGTCTATTATCCAAAGTTTATCTGCTGGCATTAGAAGTAAGTCTTTAATTAGTTTACTTAAAATTTATTTTAATTATCATCTGCCTACTCAGCGGTTCATAGTCAGGACCTGAATACAAAGTTATCGCAGGCTTTTGATGGCAGAACCGACCAATTGATTGAACTCAACACAGCATTGAGATACAGGTATTTATCAATAATTGAAAATTAAGGTGTTTTTTTTAATTTCAGTTTTTTTTAGAATACAAGAGAATATTGATGAAATTTACACCGAAGAAAGCCAAAACGCGAATAATATTCCCAGGCGAGGTTTATTGAGATTATAAAACTTTATTATGTTGTGATTATTATTTTTTTTTGTTTATATATATATATATTTTATGCATACTTATTTTAAAATATATGTTTTAAATGTTACATTTTTAAATTTTAATAAATGTGGTAAAAAATAACATTTTAGTTAATTTATTTCCTTTATAAGATTAATTGTATGGGAGTATGAGTAAATTAATATTATTTTTTTAAGTGTTTTTTCTTGTTTGCATTTAATTCTACATAAATTCACAATTACAATTACACAGTGGTTAAATTAAATATACGATAGTTAAAAATACAGATTGGTCTCTTATATGTATAGTATAAAATAGAGATGAAAAATATAAATATCATTTCATATGACTAGTATGTATGTATATGTTGTTAAATTTACTACAAAAGAAAAAAGGTTAAATAAGGTACTTATAAGAGTTAGAGATGTGCTCTGTCCTTGATTTCTTTTAATATATGCTCGTTCCTATGCTCCGCCTGAATATGGAAATATTTTTTTTATAGCACCGCGCATATAGTTATTATATTATAAAAATAATCCGATTTGTATTTGGAATATAATCATAGTTATTATATAGAGGGTTCAATTCGTTGATTGGCAGACGACGATCTTTGGGAAATGTACCAAACAGGGTAAAATTTGGCACACGTTCTTTCTTTACAGGCTATTTAGAATTATTATTATTGCAGCAACTCACGACCAACTTAAAATCTATATACGTTTTGTTCGTATTTATATGCATGTATAATATATACTTATATGTATATACATATAGTTGAATGATTTAAATATTACGAGGCTACGTATATCTCTCTTTCTATATACCTGGATACGTGGAATGAAAATATTTGTTGATCACTAAACGCAAACTGCTTTCAGCAAGGACTATCGTTCTGCTCTTTCTCTTCCGTCTTTAACTTGGGTACCGAATAGTTGTCCGGCGATGCCATCTCCAAGCCAGAATCGCCGCGTTTCCTCTCCATGCTACCAGTGAACTCGAAACTGGAGTTCAAAGACGAGTTCAGATTGGACTTTGGCGGTATGGGCGGCGGATTCTCAGCTTTCGGGCTGCGATCGTTAGGACTAGCGTTGATGTTCATATCCTGCTGATGCAATCTGACATCGAACTCTTCGTAACATGTGTTGTTAAAGTTGTTGAGGTGGTTCGAGTGGTCCGTCATGCTAATACCGGAATCGCGAAGGTCGTGTTCTGAGGGCTCGGTGTGCGTCAGGCTGTTAGTAGAAGAATTTAGTTGCGTATCCTCCAAAGCTATATCAACAACGGAATCGATGCTGAAAACCGAAGGTGTCGACTTTTTGTGTCCTCTTTTCGGTATGTTGGGAGGTTGTTCTGACAGAGAAGGTGCCCTTTTGTCCGGAGTGTGGGAGCGTGGAGGAAGTGGCGGAGCCTCTTCCGCTGTGCCGTCTGGCCAAGAATTTCTAAGAGGAGTAGTAGGTTCGGTGGGAGTAGCCATCGAATGCCTAAGCAACCTAGGCGATGGTGGCTTTGTCAAGGAACGCTCTCTGCTATGCGTCGGTTTCGGAGGAAGTGGAATATCATTCGATTCCGAATCAGATCTGAAAAAAATAATAACAAAATCAAATAATCAATACATTTTATTCGATCCGAATTATTTACCTTGATTTCAGAGACGGCAAACTGGAGTAATCGGTGCTCGATCGAGTCGGTGTCTTCGCGATCTCCATATAGGTATTCGTAAATCCCTGAGAACGTGGTCTATTATCCCGATGCGGGATCGGCGGCGCGCTAGAGTTGTTACCACCGTGCGACATCATCGGTAAAGTTAAATTTTCTCTACTCAATGTATTCTTATCGACATCCTAAAATCAACTCGTCCTATTAATGCGATGATACGATCGAGCAAAGCAATATTCTACGTACTAATTAGCTTGGCATGCAAAATGGCTGTTAGTTAGTAAACTTTGTGCTTGCTAGTTTCTCGAAAAAGTTAATTTTCTCGATTAAATAGTGCTTCTTTGTTACAATACTTATGCTTTTGGGTCTAACCATTGGTTTGGTATAGGGATCCTCTCCTTCAAACGCTTGATACTCCACCAAATATCCGTAGTTTCCACTGGAATTTGAAGAGCGATTACTGTGATTCATCTCCGACGTACGCTTTTCGTTTGGTAGCGGCGGCAACGGAGAACTTAAACATACCATATTAATCTACAGGCAAAATTGTGTAAATAATAATAAACTCACTTGACGATACTTTCCGACTGTTGCCGTTTCAATGGATTCGAGCATCCTAAGCTCTGCTTCAGCTGAGCAAACCGTTCGATCAATCTCTGGTGCAGAGGTTTAACACCATCTGGAGCCAGTGTCCCATGTAAATTCAAACCCTCTTCTATAACCTGTGTTGTGTCCAGGATCATATTTTTCAAAGTGTACACGTAATTCATGTGCTCTGGCGGGCAAATCTTAGTAAACTCTTTTGTGAAGAAAGCCTGCTGGTATTTGCTGATTCCGCCTTGAACGTTGGCATCGATGATGCCTTGTAATCTCATAGTGAACGGATTTAAATTCCTCCGCCTATCCACGCTGTAGATGGCAATCAACTGCCTCAACTCTTTATCCACAGACTTCATTGTTTCGCAAGCGTATTTTATCGGTGGAATCTCGTCAGTTTTACGGTCGATCACTTCGAACCATCTTAATATCCCCGGTAAAGTGCATTCAATCTCCAGAATCGTGCGCTCGATCCAGAGTGTCTTAATCTCATTTTCTTTATCGACAATGCCTTTGTGGACGGGCCTATCGCATTGGAACCTCTTCACATCATTGTAGTGATAAAACCTGGCCACCTCTTGCGGAGCATCTGCCGCCATCGTTATGGGATTTGATTCCGGGATGGGCTTAACGTTGCATATTTGAATAACTATTAATTAAATTAAGAAATTGCTACGATTTGTGGTATTAAAAGACAGCTTGCATTTAAAAGTAAAAAAGGATACATTGTCCTTCTGAATTAATTATAGATTCAGATGGAGGCGTGTTCTTCATGAGGATCTGGGCTGAGGGAAACTCAGTCTGCAATCTCTGTGTGAAAGCACCAATTCTCTCGTATTCCAATCCTCTATATACAAATTGTTTATTCTGAAAGATATAGAATAAAATGTCGTTCTTAAATCAACCACAATATAACATACCCTGACAAACAGAGGAAAACTTAGACCGTAGAAGCCGACTCTAAAATATTCGGGCTCTGGACGGAGTTGCTGAAGGATGTTGTCAAAGAATTTCGCCTGCATCTTCAGGATACTGCTCAAGTCTCGATAATTGAAGAGCTGGTTCTCGTACAAATTGGCCAACTCTTTCAACAGTGGCACACCCTTCTCCCAACACTTGCCTCTATCGAAATGATTGATAATTTGCTGATACAGTTCCTCTTTCACCTTGCACTCCGTAAATCCGGCATAATGGGGATCCATTGTTATCACGGTGTTCGTCCAACTCAATTGATCCGCGTATAGTTTCATCGTGAATCCGGCTTCGGTGTAGTTCTCAGCACTCATGTGCAAATCGTGCAGTTTATAAATATATCTCAGATACATTTCCTTACGGTTAAACTCGTTCTTGTAGAAGTTCTAAAAAGAAGTTAATCTTACTCAAATACGTTCGTTAAATGAAAGTATTCTTACCAATAAATTAAAAGTGCAGGACATCCGTTTATCCCTATTCTCGTCGCCTTGGATCACGCTTCTGTAATCCAATAATCTCTCGAGCAATCTCGTGACGGAGCTTATGAAAGCCGCTCCGCTATCCTTCCATGCCGGATCCTCAGCTTGAACTCGATCCAAAAGCCTTTACAATAGATATACATTCATTATTTTATTCATACACATGGCTTAAATTAAAACACTATACTTACACAGCGCTCAAATGCTCCCTTTTTTAAACAATATGCAGCGTGAAAGTTATGAAGAAATGAATGATAATAAATAAAAAATGTTAATACATACATTGTATTGAAGAGCTGTCGGTATTCATCGTCGCCTTTGTTCTCCGATATTAAAATATCCAACTTATCGATGAGCTCGCTCTCGACTTGCCGGAAGTTTCCTCGCGCTTTCTGCTCGCATTCCATCATGTCGAAGAATATATGCAACGTGGCTTTCCGCAACTCGATCTCAGGTACCAGGGTGACCTCTAGGAAGGGTCCAACCATCGAAGGGATAAAATGAAGCTTATTTTCGCCGAGCTGCGACCACATGGAAAGGATTTGGAAGCCCATCAGCACCCTCATATCGCCGTATTTTTCGATGATCTTCTCCCGTTTAACATCAGAAAATTGCTCCAATTGTAACGATGATTGCGTAAGATAATCGACCGCTAAATTGAAGTAAATTGTCCAGAGCTACAAAAAATAATCAAATTACATTTATAATATACATAAATGGTTTATGATAATTACATCTTTATCGAAATATCCGCCTCTCGTGTCCAAGAACTTGAAAGCTAGTGGTTGGGCTAGTTCTTGTAAAGAACGAAGCATCACATTATTTGTAACCATTTTGATAATGAGCCAGTCCGGCGGGAAGACTTCCAATTTGACCAAGTTTCGGAAGACCATAAAGACGCGCATCAAGAAATCCTTCAGTGGTTTTCTATCATGCGCGGGACCCATCAGAGTTTCCCAAAGACGCTTGTAGTGAAACTCGTCTAAAAGTTGCAAAAGACCAACTAAACAAGCAACCAAAGATCCCTGTAAATAAATCGTAAATAAGATATGTATATTATTTGCTAAATATTTACACTTACAATAACTTTGGTTTCTTTATCTATTATAATAGAAACTGTTTGTATGAGGACATCAAAAGTGCTGACGCACAGTGTATCGACGTCGTGGTGTATACAATTGTTGATCTTTCCCATCTCGTCACATTGGATACGTTGCTTGAAGAGGAAGCCCAAGATTTCTCCCAGGATTTCGGTACATAATCTAAGCTCATCGCGTCTACTAAGATGGTTCCTGAGATGTTTGCAAGCGTTAGCAAGCAATATGTTCCTAGACTCATCGTCGTGGAATAATCTGCCGGTCATTAAATTCCTAATAGCCGTTAGTTTTGCCTGGACAATTTGCGCTACACCATCCTTTGTCGAATCAAGCATAGTTGTAGCCAACTTAGTCACCTCCAGCACCGACAATATATCAACAAGCTGCTCAAACACAGCACTTATCGACAATAACAAAGCCACCTATATAGACAACAATTACATTAGCTATGAATCATATAATCAACGTCAATATCACAAACCTGTGTATCGACGACAAAAACGCTGGATTGATTCAGCATGTTGTTTAGAGAGACGAAGACGCTGTTCAAGTCCCTTCGGAAGTTATCTTCAAACTGACCACAGCTCGCTCTCGAGAATAGTATTCTACTCTGTATTATCAGTTTGAAGATGTATTCCAAACTCTTGAAGCACTTCTGCACTGGCTCTTGCTTCTCAAACGACAGGATCCAATCGGCACAATGCTGCACACTAGTAAGTAGCCCTCTGAAACCGAAACGAAGAAAAGTTACATCGAATGTGAATGGTTTTACAAGTATTTACTTGTAGACTAAAGCGGCGGCAAAGTGATCCTTGATGTATGCGTCTAATACTGGCTTGAAATACTGAAACTTCGATTCGTCTAGTAAACTGAAAATCGAGACCAGCACGTGGAAAACAATTCCACTATACGCAGTTGAATTTCCTTCTTCTGTCGAAAACAGCGCGAATAAAGCGTCAAGCACATCCTGCAGAAATTTAACTAGCTCTTCGTCGCCCAGCCGGAGAACTCTATTCAATGATTCAGCGATTCGTTCTGGATGCGATTTCCAGCGCAGTAATGACAGTAAATCCACTGAAACGAAATATTATTATACAATTATCAATTTAAATTGCATCTAACTAACCGTTCTGTGTAAGTTTCGTGGAGCAAAGAAGAGTCTTCACAAATACCAATTCCTTTTGGCTGCGTGCAAACGATCCGACGCATTCGTGATTGCCTTCGGAATCTTTGTTGTACGCGGGCAGCATTAGGTAACCGCAATTATCTAATTTCTGTGCATCCTCGCACTTGTAAATGAACAGTTCGTGTTGACCATCCTGAACAGCGGCGCCGTCTTTATCCATCAAGCGGATGAACGAGAATCCGAACAGTTTCTTATCGTTCTTCTCACGCGCTGCATAGTACAAAAGTTACATCAATAATTGTATTAAAATTGGAATGGAGATCCTTACTTGAGCAATGCCTATATTCTAATCGCACGTGAGCTCCTGCGAACTTGTCTATTGGTAAAGTGAGCCTAACGTTCTCCGCCCAGGCCGGAGAATTGTGATGGTAGATGATCATAGAATTATACTCTGAATAACCTTCACATCCAGATGCCCCCCACAAGCAATTCTATAAGAAGTCATTATTAAACATTACAATAATCCAATTTGTTTTTCCTACCTTAATGATATTTTTCTCGCTGTCTAGAACCAGGATGCTAACTTCAATATTTTTCCCAGTAGATTTTCCGCCCCTCTCAAATTCTCCTCTTTCCAAATTCAAGTAAAGATCGTTCCGTACATCTCCCGGCATAATAACATCCGGGAATCCGAGCTTGTTTGTAAGACTGATGTTCTTGAAGAGAAGCGGATTATCCTCCTTGATTTGTGCGAGTTGTCCGTGAAGCATTTTGAGCGAAATTATGATGCCGTAGTTTGGTTGGCAAGATAACGCGTTGTACTTCCCAGACTGCCTGATGATGTTCTCGTGCAACTGATGGAAATCCTTATCCTCGCACTGGAACACCTTCATAGGGAACTCGCGCTCCTCAGACTCCTTGTGATTCAACAAGTCACCCATGTTCTGCACCGCAACACCATGGGGTCTCTTGTACACCTGCTGCAGCGTGGTAGCGTATTTCTCAGTCTTTTTGGAACTCTCTGAATAGCACATTTTGCCGATCCTCATCACATGAGCAACTATGTATATGTCCCGATTCAGGTCGGTATTACCCAAATCCTTTGCGAAAGAAAATAAGAATAGCGATTAAAGTTGTTGGTAAAATAATGCTTAAACGAGATTTACCGTGAATATAGTGCAGTTGCTATGCAATTTTTCAATGTAATTCGAGAAGCCCTCTTTGGAGATTTTGACTAGGAACCTTTCGGAAATGTAGCTCTGCTTCTTGGCGTCGTATAACGAGAAGTAGATCTCCGTGTCTTCACCGATGTGATGCCCGAAGTCCCGCATGCAGAAGTACAGGTGATGCGTTAAGATCTTCTTCGTCTCTTTACGCTTTATCGTCCCTCGTGACTACAAATAAAGGTGCAATATTAAAACAAAAAGTTATTAACTTTATAGAAAACTCACCGAAGCTCCCTGAGAACTTTCAGCGCTGGAAACGTGGACGTGGTATAGCTCAACCACGGACATGGAATCGGGATCAACCATTTGGGCACCTTGCCTAGGCACCAGGTCTAGACCCAGTTTCCTACGAGCAAATAATCTCTTCAAAAACTTTCACAGTCTCTTCAAGAATTGATAATTCATTTTAAACTACACTCAAACAAAGTGTATTCAGGAATATTGATTTTATACGTTAGACAATGACTTATAATTAAGCATTGCTTGTTTGCAATTGTGCATATTGCACCCAACAACAACTTGGGTGAAATATGCACAACAACTTGCTCTTAAATATTCCACAATAAACCATTTTCAATCGCCTGACATTCATTACATTTTTTCAAAATAAATCATATATTTGTACTTAACATTTATTTTTGCTGTTTCATTAACGATTTTTTTAAATTAATATTTATTCATATTTAATTATTCAAAATTAATTAATATAAACTGTAAGAATTGAGTAATTTGAATGTTATATAGCTTTTATACAAAGAAAAAAAAATAGAATTATTATTAAAATATTTCTTCTGAATATCAATATTGGTTAGAATTAAAAAAATACGTAATTGAAGTAGATTTTATTTTTGTATGTTATTTATCAGTAATCAGACGCGTGGCCTTTGGAACTTGATGTTTCGCAGCTTACAAAAGTTAAGCAACGCGTGGGGGCGAATATTACTTGGATAAGTAAAATTATTGGTAAAATTGATTAACATATTAACTATAATATTTCTGCTAACATTATATTCTATTAGTGCAACATCTGTGTAACAAATTACAAATTTGCGCTAATAAAGTGCATTGTCGATGGAAAATTGGGAGAGAAAGCTACTAACATAATAAATAAAAATACATAAACAAAACATTTTCTAAAGAACATTTTGCGAAAATGTCTATAAAATTCTTAATAAGTACAATCAAAAAGAAAAAGGGTAATACGTGAGGCAGTGAGTAAGAGCTAAAGATTCCGTGATTAATTCTGATATTCCGAGAATCTGTAGGGTACAGGTAGAAGAATTTCCCCCCGAGGCAGTTTTGATGCACGGTTTGCGCTTTTTTCTCTTTCTCTCCCGCTTACTCTTCCTCAACTCCTGCATACATTATTATTATTATGCTTCTTCTAGTTCTACAACTTCAATTCAAGTTCACTGAACTTAAAAGCTCTCGAAGGCTAAAGTTGCATTCATCTGTACACACACACGGTGAGCACTCGAGCTGCATTTTATTTTACATTGTGTCAACGTTTCCAGTCGTGACCTCCTCATGCGGCTAACACATCGATGAGAATTCCGATGCGGCCAGCAGAGGAGAGATAGAAAATAAATAAATAAAATGAAATGGATACAAATCGTTGACACCTGGACGAGAGAGAACAAAATGAAAAATCTTGATTTAGAAAAAAAAAAGAAAGTTTCGATTGCGCAATGTTCGCTTCGCCTTATCTATTACACAAAATATAAATATAAAGTAAATATTGTCGTTTTGATTCTAAAGATATTGTTCGTTCCAGCAGTTTTTTTAATGTTACATGATTTATGGAATTCTTGGCAGCCTTGGGCATTCGCTAATGCGAACATAATGCATTGCACTTTTTCATTCATAAATGCCAAGCTGGCATTATCGTGGCAGAAGAAACGCTTTTCCTCCAGTTAACTAAAGCCTAAATCAAATATTTGGATAAATCTGCAGGTAGCCGAGAGGAGGCTGGATGGATGGATTGTACCTAAAGCCGGTCCCCATTTTATGACACCGACTGTACTTAGTATGCAGACCGGTTACAGGTGCGTTACCAATTGAAGTAACAAAAGAGAACGCTGCAGAATAAGCGATCTCTTGCGTAATTGCAAAATGCATTCGATCACTTTATATGCCAGTGAATAAATCGTTATTAAAATTCTTTGCGGGACACTTATGTGATTCGTTTAGGGTTGAATTTTTGTCTAACATGGCCATGGATGAGCGAAGAACCCGAAAGGAAACGGGATTGTGTTTTTCAATATGGTTGCTTGCCTCGTCGAGCGAGAGAATACGAGAGTCCAGACAATGGGCCAGATAAAGAGGGCCTGTTCATGTGCAGACTTCTCCCTCCACAAACACGTATACATCTGTCTCGCTCTTCCAGTGTTTCGAATGGTTTTTAGAATGTTCAGCAGTAGTTTTACTTGGATCGTCGGCGACCCAAGATGTTTTGATCAACAGCGACACACTTCTTTCGATTTTTAACCAGTAGACGGTACGTTCACTCTTGTGCATAGAGAGGCCAAGAAGAAAACAAAAACTGGGAGCCGCTTCAGATAACAAACGATAAATAAAAAATAAATAAAGGAAATCTACAACGATCCAAACGATCAACAGTTTGGTGGGTACATCGAGTAACATTCAAAGAAAGAAGGTAAACATATTTTACTTAGTTAAGCAGGATGCTTCTGAAGCGACCCTGCGCAATTATCCCCGACAATTTTCCAGTTGAGGCTTCAATTTAGTAACACACGCAGCCAAGCCTTGCACTCGAAAGGTTATCAATATTTCAATAATCAGATTTTTAACACGCAACAGAACAAAAAACTTTGTATATATATATGTCGTAAATTGAACTTCTACATGTCTCAAATATGCTTTGTTTGGCCAGTTTGATAATATGAGTAAACTATGTTATGTGTATTTAGAAACGCGTGTATTTGTCATCGTCATTAGTAACATGTGTGAATTAACAATTCCACCTCTTTATCTTCGATGTACAATGGTCATTTAATTTAAAGAGAAACTGATGTTTAAGCTAAACCCGACAATAGTAATCAACATCAGGAGGAAACGCGTTAGAATTGTATTCAAGATAAAAACTTTACTGTTAGAAACACATATTTCTTTTATTATGCAATAGTTTTTATTACTTTTCTTAGTAATATTACCTAAGCATGTAAACATAAGTTTGTAAATATATATTCGTTCTAGTTTCATTATTTTATAAGAGAGAAACGAAAACAACTGTGTTAACTAACCCACATCACTTGGCTTCATTAAAAATATATATAAATGATGAAATATCTGAGAAACCTTTAATTCCATAGAATTATTCAGTTTCCAATATTTAAAGAATGTTATGCGGTTTGAATATCATTAATCCATGTATTCGAGCTAATTCCTGGTACTCGATAATATTCTATTCATTTCACGTTCTTTTTCCGTTACGCAGGTATCTCAAAAGATAATTCAAGATGACGGTGTTTGGGATGGTATCGGCGGTGGCGGGCTTCGTAAAGATCCGCTACCTGCTGGATAAAGCCGTCATAGATAACATGGTCTTCAGGGCCCACTACAGGATCACGTCGGCTATCCTGTTTTGCTGTTGCATCATCGTTACTGCTAATAATTTGATTGGTAAACGCATCTGCTTATTATGCATTATGAACATTTATTAACAGCAATTTGGATTTGCAGGTGATCCAATCATGTGCATCAACGAAGGCTCTATTCCGGGACACGTAATAAACACCTACTGCTGGATTACTTATACTTTCACGCTTCCCCACGAGCAAGGGAAACGCGTGGGAACGCACGTGGCGCATCCAGGTTTAGGTAACGATAACCAGGACAAAGTGTATCACAGCTATTATCAGTGGGTTCCATTCGTGCTTTTCCTACAGGTAATTAATTGATCCAAGCTCTCATCCAAGCCGTCAACTAAATATTTCTTCTACATTTTAGGGAATTTTGTTCTACATTCCGCACTGGATTTGGAAGATCTGGGAGGAGGATAAAATCCGCAAGATCTCTGATGGTATGCGCGGCACCATCATCGGTAACAAGGCTGAAAGGGCTCCGCGCATCTCCAGATTGGTGCAATACATCATGGAAAGTATGCATTTGCATAATACGTATGCCTTTATCTATTTCCTCTGCGAAGGACTGAACTTCATCAATGTTGTAAGTATACCTCATAATATATACTCAAAAAACGAAGGCGTTAAATACTATACTTACTTAACTATCCTTGAGTATTACGTGCAACTCGGCACGAGATTAATTGAACTTAATTGAAGGCAATGTCTTATTTGATAATCATTAATTAGTAAGTAAACTATGTTGTTTTCTTCCGTAGTTATTGAACATTTTCATGACCGATAAGTTCTTGGGCGGAGCTTTCTTAGATTACGGTACCGACGTGATTCGTTTCATGAACATGGATCAGGAGAATCGTACCGATCCGATGGTCGCGGTATTCCCCAGAGTGACTAAGTGCACATTCCACAAATTTGGGGCATCCGGTTCTATACAAAAACACGACGCTCTTTGCGTACTGGCCTTGAACATTCTGAACGAAAAGATCTTCGTGTTCCTTTGGTTCTGGTTCATCATCTTAGCAGTTATTTCTGGTTTGGCTCTTGTTTATTCATTGGCCGTAGTAATGTTGCCCAGCACTCGCGAAACCATCATGAAGAGGAGGTTCAGATTCGGAACACCGAACGGCGTAGATGCAATCATCCGCAAGACACAGGTAAATTCATTTAACATTTTCATTTGCAATACAAAATCTAATTTGCGTTTTTTTTAATTGTAGGTTGGAGATTTCTTCCTGTTGCATTTGCTAGGACAAAATATGAATTTGATGGTTTTCGGCGAAATCCTGGAGGAGCTAGTGAGACGCCTGAACTTTGGTAGCAACAGCAATTTGCCGTCTGCACCGAGCACTTTGGAGATGAGTCCAATTTACCCGGAGATAGAAAAATTCAAAGAGACTGAGACATAAATACGAGGAGTGAGAGAAGAAAGCAGCCAGAGCATTTACTTTTTTTCTTAAAGTTCTCTATAAATGTTTTTTTCTGCCATAGTAAGTTTAGAGATCTCACCGCCTGAGATATTTTTCTTTTGATACAAGTATTTTTTTTCCTTTCTCAATTTAAGTTTAATTTTTACGTATATATATACAAACAAATATTTGTGATTGATAAATTGTATAATGTTTAAGTTTCCAATTATTTACTAAGATTTTCCTCCTAAGCTTATATAGTATATTATTCTTAGACGGCTTTGGTATTCAAAGCGCGGATATTATTATATTATATTGACATGTATGTGCCTTATTTGACAAATAAATAATTATGTTTACGAAGACTCACCTGTTTCCCCAATCGATTTTGGCAATGATCTTCAGTTTCAGCTCGCGCGTTTGATCCTGGGTCAAAGTCCCGGAAACTAGCTGTCTCCGCCATTCCAGCAGATCCCGCATCACCTTCCCCACCGTCTCGAACTTGTACGTCTCCTTTTCCTAATTGAATCATGAATTAAGAGCGGTCTCAAATGTTAAGATCATATAGCTTACCACGAAAAGACGCTTCCAAATGTCCGCCCATTCTCTTAAAACTAAGGTAACTTCTCGGACGACCGGATCTTCCAATGGAACAACGCTCTCGAAGAGCCCCTCATTGTCAACTTTGCAGGGCTTTAGGTGGATATAGGACAACGGAAATATGCCCTTCGTGGACCGATTCTTCGTGGTAAATCCGCGATACCAACCGGCGCATTCCTCGAGGATCTGCACCGTCTCTCCGATCTCCAAGGGAAGGCCGCATTTCGTGTCCCCTTTCCAATTGTAAATTGCTGAAAATCATAATAACTATGAAGCGGAATGCAAACGGAAGCATCACGATTAGATAAGTTCATCATCAATCAATTTGGCAGCTGTGAAACACTTCGCTGCTGCTGTCAAGAAAATAAAACGATGAGCTCCGTGATTCATGTTCGAAAATTGATATTTTCGCGTGATCGATGGTTTCACTAAGCATTACTCGACACATTTTGCTTACTCGTGTCAACAGACATGCATATTAAAAATATTTGATATTCAATTAAATCTATTCGGAGCGTTATTTGTATATTTCGATTAAACTCCAACTGCGTTACGTATCTTACGTAAAAGTAATTGCTGCTCTGCACGTGCATAATTGACAACTGCTACAAACTTCGAGGAGTATCAAAAAAAACAGTAATCACGGTTTTTATATGGAGTCATGAGCCGAAGAGATTTATGCGGCTTCTATGACTTCTACCCGCCCGGAAACGGAAACTGTTATTGGGACGTCGTTGCCACTTCATAAACACTTTACGGCATGCTTCTGTTCTGTGAGCGCGAGGCAAGGATTAAGTTCAAATAGGGACATTCACTAAAAAAAATCCATTTTCCGCTTTGGTATTCAATGTATACGTCCATAGATAGAAACAAATGCTTTCGTGAGAGATATTTCCATATAACAAAAGACTGAGTAACTACTTCAAAATATGGTAGAAAACAATCTTGTTTTTAACTTCAAATTACCTATATCTATCATTACAGATACTTAAAAACACAACGACGTATATTACATAATTGCATTTAAATAAATGATAATGTGAAAATCAGCTATTGTCTAGTTAACTTCTATTATTAAATATGTCGGAAAAAATATGTTTAAAAAAACTTGCATAATTGATTTTTTTTGCGAGTCATGAAAATTTCAAACAGTAATAACAGATTTATGATTTATTTGTTTATTTTTTTAGTGCTAATTAAAAAAATATATTTAAGAAGCAGCACGGTTAAAGTAAATATAAGACAATAGTTCGTTTTATATTCGAACTCATTTTGAGTGCAATATAGAAACTTAAATAAACACCATATATTTATTTTCTTTAGTTTGGAGCAGAGATGGATGTGTATGTTAGGCAAACAGTAATAAAGGTTCGATTTTATAAAATATCCTAGCTATTTCAAAGGAATATGTTTTATGATTGAGGCTAGTGTATGAATGTTTTACACCAGGGGTTCCCAAACTGCGCGCTGCGGCTTTACTAAATAATATGATATATTAAGGGTGCCGCATTCTAAAAAAGTTTGGGAACCCCTGTTTTATATTATATATTATTTGATCTATATTTTAATTAAATACTCAATGCAGACATGCTTTTTTAAATCTTGATTTATTTCTAAATTGAAAATTTTATAAAAAATTGAACTGATATCTTAGCTTTTTAGTCTTAATTTTACACTTTTTCTCAAATTAAATTTTGATATTTCGAGCTTTATATTATTTGTAACATAATTAGTTATGCAGACAAACTTTTTTTGTCTTAATTTATTTTTACAATAAACAAATCACTTTTGTTCTAAAATCAGAATATGATATTTCGAGTTTTATGTTATTTGTAATAAAATAAATAATGTAGAAATACTGTTTATTTTTTAATTATTTCTACAATGATTTTTCAAAATCGGACTTTGATATTTCGAGCTATTTCTTTATTGTAATAAAATACACAACGCAGACATACTTCTTTGTCTTAAATTATTTGTAGAATGAAAATTGTATAGATTTTCTATAATCGGACTTTGATATTTCGCGCATGATCTTTATAAAGAAAATACGCAGAGAACGTTTATACTGTGTATGACTAATGCAATTTTGCAATTTGGTGATTGAAATAATGCATGAATTGGTTCGCGTCTGACCGCAGAATTGGGATGAACAGAAACTCTAACATTTCCTGTAACATTAACATTTTTTTAAATTCTGAATTGTCTTTGTAAAAGAAGGGTCCAGGTTTATGAATAGGAAACAGGTAAACAAAAGGAATTCTTGGGAAAGCTTACCAATAGGATTGCGCGGAAGGGTAGGAACTTTAGAATGAGGTACATTTGAGAAAATTTATGCGTTTTTCATGCAAATCGGGTGCCGTCTTCATTTCGAAAATTTCAATGCAGATGGCCGTGCCTGCAATATTAATTCGCATGGGAAGAAACGGGAGCCGCGCTTGAAAAATTATTCCTCTTCTGTCTAATCGTATATGCACGGAGGCCGACCAGGCAGGATGTGATGTTTTTAAAGAGTGTGCCTGCCTGATGTGATGTATAGAGAGAGGCAGAGGCACAAGAAGCGACCGGAAGTGTAGTCTGCGACAATCATCAACTCTTCGAGGCGAACAACATGCATTAAAACACTCGACGCTCATCAAACAATTTAGCCCGAATGCAATGCCGCAGCAGCAATCAAGCAAACCAGGATAATTGCTTTTGTTGTTATTCAGATGACAACCACCACCGGGGACACGATATCAGTTAATGGGCCGATGACTCTGGTGGATTAATTAATTATGGAACCCGATAAATTATAATATTTGTATAGTTAAACATTCGAAGCACACGAAAGCTGCGATAAAAAAGGCAAACGACGAGTACGATTCGAAGGACCTTTCCATAATTACGCGACGATGACGATCTTGGCAACCTGACTTTTCAAACACACGCTTCTAATTATAAAAATAAATGCTCCAATGATCTATAAAACAAATTTTCCACGCTATCGTCACTATCGTAACTCTACATTATATATATGTTATATTAATTCAAATTATTTCTCGAGTGAATGATCTTGATTTAAGAGTTCTATCATCATCATTTATCCAATACTCATATTATCTCATCGCATTTCGTATTGATAACAGATAGAACCCAATTCGTCCGAAAAAGTCGGGCAACCTGTGACACTGGCATAAACAAAAATTCTAAACGTCAAAGTGACGTTTCTCAGAGCAACCAGAGAGAAAGATAGATACAAAAAAATAACAATTTTATAAACTATTATTGTTGCTCTCTTCGAAATCTGTTGCGGTAAAGAAAATCAAAGTTGGATTTTTTAATTGTTCCAACTTTTTTCAGAAAGTTTTATTGCAAAGGTTGAGGATAGGGATGGAGGGCAGATGCACTTACCAACTCCGTACTTTTCCCGTTTCGTCGCACACCACATTTTGAAACCACCGGGCACAGTCACATTTTTCAACAACAGCCCGCACCGCTCCAATCAATAGCACTCATCTGGACGGGACGCCATTGAATGCAATTGTCAAAACATTTGGCCCTCTACCTACAACTGCCAGGAACTGCCTGACGGATGAATAGCCGCTCATTGCCAACAGATGGCTTAACATAGATGTCAGTTGAAACTTTAAGAATGTTTGTTGTGCAATCTATATTTGAAACATTCAAGGGTTTATTATAAGTCTAAAATGGGCTTTGTTTCATACCAACGACTTCAACTAACTACATAAACTACAATGAATTTTATTAAGAATTGAATACAATACAGGTATCTCCCGACTTAAGAACTAGTTCCGTCCCAAAGGGTTATTCGTAAGTCGAATTTGTTCGTAAGTCGGGGCAATTTAAAAAAATTCACTTATCTTACCATACTTTATCATGGTTTTTACTGACTGCATAAATTTGAAAAAATAGATTAAAATAAACAAAATATTTATAAATACTTTTCAATGTAGACATCACAATTATTTAATAAAAACGACAAAAAAACAAAAGCAACAAAACAAAAAGTACATCTTCCAAAACTTTTATATTTTTTTAAAGAAATTATCAATTTTTGTTTGGACAAAAAAAAAAATATATCACTCTATATCTCCTTGTAATAAGTTAGAGCTTTTAGAATTTGGTACTTTTGATTTTTTTTAATTGTAAAGAGATTTATAACAATTTATTATTGATATAAATCTCTTTGGCCCTATTTTTTGAGGGTCGAACCAACGATACCTTTCGTATCGGATTTTCGTGATACAGGCGACTATTACTTTTGAATTGAATTAAAAGGTTTATCCTTTGATACAACTACAGCTGGGTTTCCCACACTTGTTCTGTATTGGAACACTTCGTAAACCCGGAAATTTTCAGGAAACACCTAGTGAAACACATCTTTGATAAGAAGTGCGTCCTAACTAAAACACCTCTTTTATATAAATTATTATAAGATATCAGAGCAAGTCGCAGTGTGGACCAATCTCATCGGGAGCAGTGAACTAATTGAAACACATTATTTATATAAATGAATATGAGAGAGTATAGCCAGACTCGGATTAAAAAAACTTAATTGTTGACTAAGCGTTTCCACTTAGTATAATATCTGTATGAGTAGAATAAGTGTACTTATATAGTTAGTCTCAGTTATAATATTAAGAGCAGTACATTGTCTTAGTCAAATTTGTATGATAACTACATTTAATCAATAAATTTGTTATAAAATGCATTAATATCCTAACAACTGTGGTTCCACATTGATAACGGCAGACAACATTACACAATGTCTATATTTTCCATCTCTAGGACACGACAAGATTTGGAATGTTGATATTATATTATACAATACTGAAAAACGAGAAATATAAATCATGAAAATTCCCGAGAATTCCCGTGCGGGAAATCCTTTAGTGTAAATATATCAGTAGCAAATTTTTACATGTCAACAAATTGTAAATTGTATTAGAAAGTATATAAATGTAATTGCAACAAATATTCATAATTTTCACCTCTGTGAATATTAGTTTTATAAGAAAACAATAAATGAGGTCTAATTGGTGCAAATGTGTTTGTACCAATTTAAAAGTAAACTTGTATATTTTATAATTAACTTTATAGTTAATTGAAACTATTTTATCCAGTATTAAATGATAATAACAAATATCTATTATATTATATAGTGCGGGTAATCGGTTTCGCCAATATCGCGGAATGTTTGAAACCGGACTAATCGAGAGACACAATCCATACAAAAATAAATCGCACATAAAGAGACTTAATTTAAGCCCGCCTAAGTATAAAAATTAAATGAATAAAAGAGACTTGTATGAAAAATAATTTTGTGTACAACATATGTTTATTTTACTCAAATAATAGAATAGAAAGTATATATAATTCTCACTAATTCAAATAGCTGCAAAACTAATTACTTATTTATAAACTATTAAAGGGTAATGAAAATATACTAAATATATCTAATATTGACTAAAATAACAATGCAGAACGTAATTAACTAATGTAATTGCATTTATTATGTTGTTTCAACTTTAAAGTATACTAAGGGCAAATTTATATTGATCCATAAACAAGACGAGGAAAAAAATGAAGGAAATCCAGTGCTTTAAAGAAGTGTTCAATAAGTACTAAAGGTTTTTATAAATGAAACTGAATTATTTGTAATAAGAAATTTATTACTAAAAATTAAATTAAATAAACTCCATAGAGCAGAACAAATTGTTTATCTAAAGTATATATATATTATATAAAGTATATGTATAAATGCAAACATTTTTACTTCAAATTGTATTCGAAAAAAATCAATGGAAAAACTCAAAAGTAAGGAAATCTTAAAACTTTTTCACACGCACGCACGCACATACATATATTTAAATAAATAAAAATAAAATGACAAGACGTTACAAAAATATATAGTTGTATTTCGATCATCAAACAAAGAAAAAAAAAACCTAGACTAAACAAAAATTAATAATAATATAATACATGTTTTGTTTTTTTTTTACTAGTTACGTTTTTCTTCTCTCTTCTCTTTTTAATAATAATAATAATTACACGTTTATTTATTTATTTTATGCTCGCAATGACTGATTGTGATTGTAAACAGGCGTAAAAAATAAATGCAGCTAAATAGAAGAATGCATGTTAACTGAATAACGAATATCAACGGTTGTCAAACGAACGGAACGGACATTTAAGAAACAAATAGTGAAAAAAAACAAATAGCAATAAAGAAAAGCGACTTTTGTTTCTACAGAAAACCTATCACAACAATAATAATAATAATGATAATAATAAAGTATAAATAAGGTACTTTGTTTCCAAAGCTCCTGACGTGGAAATGTTAAGTCGGTCATAAAAAATATGTGTATATATATATTATATGTGGGGAAAAAAATCTTAATAAAAAATAGCAAGAGTCAAAACTTCGATTGGTATGAAAATATAGTTATGTTGTTTGATTCTGATTTATATATAATTTTTCTTTCTTTCTTCAGGGGAAAAAAATGTTTTTCCTCTCGTCCTTCTTCACTTGCAGTCCGTTGTGGCTTTTAACTTCGCCTTCACCTGGAGAAGATCTTTGTTCAAGCTTCTGTCATCTTCGTTCTAAAAATAAATATTTTGTTATAGTAAACATAATGAATAATGCAATTGAACAATGAATTATTAATTGTTAGTTATATTTAATTATAATTAACAATAGTTATTATATATTGACAGATGTTTAAGTTGTTACGTCTACTGCGGATGCTGTATTTGACAATGACATTTTAAGAAAAGTAGGTCATGTATGTTTAAAATTGTTTTGGTTTTTGAATGATTATGTTTACCTGGATTGGTGAATTGTTCTCCATTCGCCTCGCTCTGTCCGCGATGACTTTTTCTAATTCAGGTTTCTTGGCCGCGTTGATCTTCTCCAGCTCCTTCTTCGCTTTGTTGTCTTTGACTTTTTCCATGGCCATCACCAGCTCTGACTTCTGATTCAATTTCTTGCCTCTGAAACAAACAAAAACATAAATAATGATAATGACGCGACGCGCTCGGATCAATAATTAGTTTTCGCAACTTACAGCTTTTGATTGAAGAGCAGCTCCTTCTGCAGTTTCTGCATTTCCTTGCTGTCCAGCACCGGATTGATGAGTTTCTTGGGTACGATGAGGCCATCCTCGTTGAGGTGAGGCTGCTGCTGCCCGTGCGATCGCTGCGTTTCCGGGATCATAGCTTCCGTTTCGTCTGGAAGGACGAAATTCGGATCATTTATGTTATTAGCAATTGTTGTTACTTTTAGGAACGGATCACAATATGAGGAGACCATCAAAGGCCACCTGTTCGACGCGGAATGGTGCGGTGGAGAGCAGCGGAATGGTCGGAAAGCCCCGGGGGTTGCATGCGAATCGAAATTGATTCGCAGCAGAAAGAGTTCAAGGTCCATGCAATTGGGTCAAGTGTGATTTTATTCTCCGCCGCTGCCGCCGCTCATTCCTTACCTTATTTATTATTTAAATACGGACGATACCGCTTATTTGGGACACCGGTTAATAGGGACAACCGCTTATTAGAAACAAGTCCACAATTTCCTCGATTTTTCGGGACAACATTCCTTTTAATCGGGACAAACGTGTGTGAATTCCCGTGGCGCGAATATATAGCGTTTTATTTGACATCATTATGTATGACGGAAGTCCCATGTTAGCAATAATTAATAGCGCTGATTTTGTTTAGAAGACAAACCAATTTGGACAAATTGTTCCAGAATTATGAAGTGCATATACAATTTTTTATATAGTATAATTTTCTGACTTGTTTTATTTTGTGCAATTTGTTAAATAAAATATTAAAAAAACACTAATTCTGCAATTTTTGTGGAACTTCGGATAATTGGGACAGTGGCAAAATGTAAAAAATGCCTCGATTAATAACCTAATTAATAGAACGAAAACGCAGAGGGATGAAAATATATATAAATTACCTGTTTCTTTAGCTCCCAACTTTGATTTAAGCTCTTCTATCGTGCTCGTCCTTATTGGATCGCCCTTCGTCAAATCCTGGAACAAAAAAAGGAAAATGAATGTTTAGACTACAGAAAACACAAATGAATTGGCATATGGCTCGTGTACGAGAGGATAAACACGCAATACTTTGATTGCGAAGATCATCGAGAAAGTGCCATTAATTGACCCTTCGAAAATTCCGCCGAGTGGAAAGAAGACAATGGGTCTCCTGTTCGATTTTTGTTTTGTTTTTGACTTTCACATTCTAAGAGAGTCAAACAACAACAACAAACAATGAAACGCGAATCATGATGGACGCAATTTACTCTAATTATCTCACCAAACGCATACTAATCCGAACTAGTGGTTTTGCTGTCTGCGAAAGGGTTAATTATTTTTTATTGCGTCAATTGGCTTCAATTGGACAATGTCATTGCTCCACATCGAAGAACGAACGAACGCCGAAGGCGGACACGCAAAAAATAATAATTATCGTAAACGCTCCAATCAGCAGAAAAAAAAACCTCAAAACGTAACCACTTAATTTGCTTACACGTAAAATCAATTAACCACCGGCAATTACGGAATCGGGGGAAAAAAAATTATGTACAAACTGGAAACAGAAATGAAGTAAACTGAGCTACGCCAGTTAGCCTAGAAATAGCGTAATCAATTTTAATAAACCGGAAGCGCTCTCCGAGAGAGCCGCTCGTTTCCGATACCAGATTCGACGTTTGTACAAACACGCACATGTAGTTGAATATTTTTTGTTCGTCTGTATGTTACCGTTTCCAGTAAATTTAACATTCAAAACGCGTTTGCTCGCATTGCGAAAAAGTGTAGAACAAAGGGCCGGATGGGAAAAGAACAAATAATGCGTCTGTCGTGGGGGAGACAACGTCGGGTCTCATCATTTAGTTTTGTTTTTGTTTCCACTATTCTGAAAATTACACCGTGCAATTGCGACTCGCGGTAAGTGATCCTTAAAGCTATGGGTCGTGCCCTAAATTTGCTGCTTTCAGTGGGTCACGAATCTTCCATAATAACTAATTTCAAACATTCCTACCAAGATTATTTACACTTCATTATTTATAAATTAGACAAAGTCCATTATACCAAATTTGTAACGATATGATAATTTAATACAATCTTTATTACAGTAATTAAATAAATAAATGCATACTTAGAAAAACACATTCATTGTTTAAATATAAAATGAATTTTGTTTAAGTCTGACTATTTGCAATAAAATATCACTAATTAATCTTGAATTTGTTTTTAATTAATTAATTAGTTCAATGTTCATAAGAGAAATGGGAATCATAACAAAAATTAAATAAACAAATGCCCTTAACGACAAGAAGTGTCCAAGACAATAAACACCCAAAGAAATCTCACAGGACAAAATAATAAACATTACAAATATCTAATTGTAAATATATTATAATTAGAATATTTAATAAAAAGAGGAATTCTTCAAATTAAATCTATGACTGTTTTCAGTGAAATATCTATATTTAATCTTTCAGTACGAGCTATAGATTAAAAATGTGTATATTATTAGTTATTTTTAAGTTTCATAGTACTAAATGTGTTTGTTCAGTTCAGTAGATAATATTTCTTGTATGTGTATAAATTTAGAAAAAAAAAAGAACGCCCACAAAATATTTCATTCAAATAACTATTTTTATTTCATCAAGTCATCATCGCAAACAGACGAATTCGTTTGGCAATGAAACAAGTTGTATGAGTAATATTTAACATCTTTAATAACGTTTCTCTACCTTCTAGTTACGCGACCCAACATTGAACTAATTGTTTATAGAACAACACACCTCTAGAATTGTTCGCTAATATCCCGGACTATTTGAATCGAGGACTTTAAAACCGCATAAAAATAAACAACAGAAAAAGTATAGAATGAAACAAATCATTTATGTATTAAATACAATTATTTTTCAAATTCACTATAGTGAATCCGTACTAATCGAAACCGCACTAGGCGAGGTTTTGCTTTATAAATTTAAAAAAAATGGGGATGAGAGTACTTAACCAATTCATCGCTTTGACTTAAAGTGACAGCTGTCATGGACAACATATTTTTTTACATTTATACTAAGACCCACTTGTTTATAGAGCAGCACACCTCGCATTGTCTGCTAAAATCCCGAACTATTTGAATCGAAGACTTTAAAACCGTATAAAAATAAACAACATAAAAAGATGAGAATGAAACAAACACACGATCATTTGTGTATTCAATTCAATTCTTTTTCAAATTCTCTATACTAATCCGTACTAATCGAAACGACACTATGCGAGGTATTGCTTTATAAAATTTAAAACAAATCGGGATCAGAGTACTTAACCAATTCCTCGCTTCGCCGTTTCCCGAAAAATATTCTCGTTCTACATAAATTCTCTGATTTTTTTTTACAGAACAATCGCAAAAGTACTTTCATTTGTAATAAGTATACATCATTATTTTAGAAATTGCAGCAACTGCAATTGTTTTCGAACAAAAACAATAACGAAATCCTCACAAAAAAAATATAAATTAGTGAAATGTATGTTACTATTGTTACTTTTTTTGTTAGAAAATTTCAAAATAATACTAAATAAATCAGTTTATGACTATATGCCTTTTAATGAAACATAACTGTGTTTATAAAAAAAAATAGGGAATATTGTGCGAAGTGCACTTTTGTTATTTGGAACGCTTAGACTAAAGTGGCTTAGTAAGCGTAATTTATGTAAATATTTGCATAATAAATGTAGAAAACAATGGATACATATTAATTGAACGGTACGAATATGGTGGTAAAAGAAAATATGTCAGAGAGTAGAACAAAAAAAAATAATATATGAAATTTGAAACCGTAACCTCCGACTTAAAAATAGTGAAGGTATTATTAGAGAATTGTCGCTGCAGCTGCAATTGTTTTCGAACTTTTCGCGAAACGAAAACTGAAATGCAATACTTCAGTGAAAAACAAAGGACGTCGACTACTACGTGCATTTTAATTATAGAGACGCATGAATTGTTCGCATGAAAATAGTTCAAAAATAAAAAAAACTTAGTTTTGTTTTTTATTATTTTGAAATTAAATGAACGGAAACAGATGGAAACCGCAAACCTTGAACGAATTCGTTTTTTTTAGTAAATACCTTCCAGAATTTGATAAGAAATTAACAATAAAATATTTATGTATATAAATTATGATCTTAAAAGTCTTACCGCTTTGTTTGTGTGTGTGTGTTTTTTTTGTAATTTAGTGTCGCGCTGATTGGATCGGTCAATTTGAATACGATTCGAGCACCTTTTTGATTAAGAACCGTTCTGGTCGAAGTGCCAATGAGTAATGACATAACTCAAAGGCAGCGAAGAATTTCAACACACACGCTCATACGCATAAGGAACATGTGGGCTGTGTTTGTGTCGCTGTTCTTCTAGTACTGTGCTGCCTTATGGAGGCAGTTTTAAATTCGCGTTTTGCATACTCCGATGCAACAGAGTTTCAACAAACAGTAGAGAAAAAAAACAGCAGTGAAACGAAAACAAAAGCCACCAACAAAAACAAGAGAGAGAGAGATGAGGAAGAAGAAAAGACGCAACTGACGGTAAATGAAACAATCGATTCGGTTACATAAATGGTTCTTGCTGCTCTGTGGGAAGGTACTTAGGTATGCATGTTTTCTTTTATTTTCGTTAATTGTTCCGTTCGCCTGTCGCAATTAGCACTCTAGGCTTTTGCAATTTTTCAGTGGCAACATGTGCGACATGCGGAGAGCAGAACCTTTTTTTTGTTTTTCAATGAGGGAACGGGGCTGCCCGTTTACGGCTTCGAAAGGACGACTCGACGTCCTTCTGAAAACTATCATACAATCTGCTCCACATTCCGTGCCAAAGATGAACGTAATTAGCAATGATCTAGTCACGTCTCTGTATAATCCCAATTTAATAAAAATCTAAATACATATTCGGTTGACGAACAGTTCGGACTGCAAACAAATCGAACAACAAACACTTTTTATGTTCGGACAACAAAATAACGAACACCTTACCAATCAATTGAAGTTATTTCTGAGAGTTAGCACTAGAGTTTAAGATTCTTAAATCTCTATTCGGTTAACGAACTATTCGACTAGCCAACACCACTGTGTTCGGTTGACGAACAGTTCGGATTGCAAAAAAAATCGAACTAGAGGCACTTTTTATGTACGGACAACAAATAAGGAACACCTTACCAATCGATTGAAGTTATTTCTGCGAGTTAATACTAGTGGTGATATAAAGCTTAAGGCTCTTACATCGAATGAAAACACTTGAATGAATAAAAATACACGACTTTAACGCTCGCGGTTTGTTCGTTTCCTACTGTCGAAATTAGAAATTCAGATTATTTATTATATTATCTATCTAGCAATAAAAATCTATAGATCAAATGGATTTATACGATACGCACCTGTCGCGAGTGATAATTTCATATTTCGGTTTATGGATCAGCGAACGGGATTTAGTTTGCTAAATAAGTTTTGTCGCGAATATCTATATTTTTTTTTTTTTGCAAATGAAAATCCAAATAAATTAAGCTGAAAATGCAATTAGTTGAATCAACAGTTAAGCCGATACGATCTCTTTCGCTTTTTAACTGTGCGAATCGCAGAATTTCGTCCTAATTAATGGAAAAAAATGTGAAAATCCGAGAAAAGTGTGCAAGAAGAGGAAAAGGTAATGGTCGCGACAAAGTGGAGCAAAGTGAAAGAAATGACAAATTGCTGCACTGCACACAACGTTTATATCTTAGCGGAGCGATGCAAATCACCTTTAAAATCATGTACTAAATAATGTAAATACAGCAATACCTCGCGTAGAGCGGTTTCAGACAGTAGAATTTACTTTGAAAATTTCAAAACAAACTAAATCTTAATTGAGCAATATACAATTAAATTCTAAGAAAGTCGTACACAAAATTATTTTTTATACATATGATAGTTTTTTCCTCCGCTCTTTTATGTGGGGTTTATGTAATAAGATTCTCGATTAGTCCGGT